GGTCACGAGTTTCTCGCGCCTAAAGTATTATTAACAACGGACACTTACTTGAACTTTGAAACTTGCATACCAACCACTTAGTATACTGCCGTGCTAAAGAAAAACGCCGTATGAACATTCTGCCGTGCAAAAACGCCGTAAATGACATTTTACATTATTTAGAAACAATGTATCATGGCAGAAAAACTTAAGTACCTTGGGACAATGTTTTTACAGAATTCTTCTGCAAATATTATCAAAAACATAACCTGAAAATTTTGAGGTGCATGGGTAAAACGGTTTATATTTTATAGAGTGTTAAGTTCCAAAAAACGAGGGAAAATCATGATGGATTTACGTTGTTCTTGCTTAGCACGGCAGCATTCGAGAGTTGCCAAATTTTGCTTAATAAAACATATATTATTGACAACATTCATACATATTTGGCCTTGAAATTTTCAGGCATTTTAGATTAAATTGCGTACAAAATTCTCTGAAAATTTGGGGGGAAAAATATTCTCAATTTCCCCAGAAAATTCGGTTTTTATCGAAGGAAACTTGGCAACGTCTGAAGGCTCATACGGTGTCCTTCCTTAGCACGGCACTATACCGTCAAATGTAGAAACGGCATAATTTCATTCGAGGGGCTTGGAAGTCAAGGCGCATAAGTTCAGTTGTTGAACAACTTGAGATATTGAGGAGTTCAGGTAACCCTAGTTTCAGTGCACATTCTGTGAAAAATTCGCTCCAAAATTTAAATTTTCAAGCATCCAAAAGTTAGTTTGAATTTTCTCTCCGCCATAAGACTCCTGTAATTTTGAAACCTCGAACAAGTATTTCTCGAAATAGCAAAAACTGCACTCATGCGCCTTGTCCTCCAAGCCTCTCATTCCTGATTTTGCATTCACCCTTTACACGAACTGCTTTGCTACCCCAAAAATGATGAGTATCAGGCTTTGCTTTTAAAAATTGCTTAGCCAATGGTATGTCACATTTTCTTTCGAAATATGAAGGATAAATTTTAATTAGTTCACATGTGATAAAGGGTTTACAATTGAAAACATTTAAAGAATGAAGTTAATGCGTTTTTCTTCTGGACCGCAGTAATGTAATGAGAAGGGGTAAAGATTTTGATGAATTAAAAAAAATGAGTGATTGTCCATAAGGAAGTGTTGAATTCCCGAAAGTGAAAGCTTCCACCTGTACTGCTGTGCTAAGGAAAAACGCCGTATGAGTATTCGAGAGTTGCCAAATTTCCTCTGGTAAAATTATTATTTTTGAGAGAAACTCTGAATATTCTTTCTTGAAAGTTTCAGGAACTTTAGGTTAAATAACGAGAAAAATTACCTGAAAAATTGGAAGAAAAATATTCATAAATTCACCAGGAAATTCGAGTTTTATCAACGGAAATTTGGCAACGCCTGAAGGTTCATACGGCGTTCTTCCTTGGCACGGCAGTGTAGGCTACAGGTGGAAGCCTAGGCTTCCAAGAGCCAAGGGTCCAGTGGCGGCCAAGGCAGGTTAAAGTTTGGTATCTGTATAAAGATTTTTATCTGCACGAGACCAAAAAAAAAAAAAAAAAAAAAAAAAAAAAAAAAAAAGCCCAGTGGAGAGTCTCTTGTCTCTGTTGAGATGGTTGAAAAGGTTACGTATTGCTGTGCGTAACCCCTAGATCCCTTCCCTTAGTAACGTGGCGTAATGCAGAGTCTAAACGCTCCGCTTCCCTCCACCCCTGGATACTTTACGTAATATAAGTGTGCTCCCCAAATCGCAGAGAATTCACCCGTTATTTTTGAATTTGTCCGTGGATGAAGAGGAGACGAGTGTTTTAAAATTATTGAACTCATTAATTAGAAAGATCGGGTCCGCAATGACAGAGTGCGTCAGATCGTGGGAGTCGAAAATGACATCATATTCGACGTCATGACCAGACAGCTTGTCTGGTATGGTCATGTCAATAGAATGACGGACGAAAGGCTGCCAAAGAAGTTGCTTGATTGGGTTCCTCCTGGGTGGAAACGAAGGGGACGCCCAGTGAAAGGGTGGCGACAGGGGGTTATAGAAGAAATGAGGGTTTGCCAACTCCCTGAAGGGCTTCGGGAGGATGGGGGACTTTGGCGGCTAGGGGTCGCAGAGCGCCGAAGAGCGCTATAAAAGTGGCACATACATACATACATACACATTAATGAGAAAAATTGATAAAAATTCGCTAAATTCCGTTTCCTCGTACAAGTTTCCTCTAGGCAAAACTGATTCCCCACGCGGCTACAAAAAAAATTCTCGCAAACGCGGGAAATTTGAAAATGCGTGATCCAGACTACGCAGAGAATACGCTAAGTAGTGGTTTTTAGAATTTTCCTATGGTCTCAACGTGATTCTCGTGTGATTATTTGCTAAAGACCTAAACGGAGAAAAATTCATCGTTGTTTTCAAAATGCTTTTGACGGATTCTAGATGCTCCCTAAATAATTTTCGTAGCAGTTACAATATTACTTTTGTAACAAAAACGATTTCGGTCCCAATGACAATGCAGCATTGTTAACATCGTAACTGCAACGAAAGTAGGCGGGACCTGGAATCAAACATGGACGTTCTAAAAAAGACAAATTTTATTTCTCCTCACACTCCATTACTGCATCTTTTGTAATTGCTGAAATTAGTATTGTTCCAAGAAAGCGAAGTTTTCAACGAAAAACTAGATTTTCCGAAAAATTAAAACGCGACAGTAACAACCCAAAAATGTTTCTGAATTTAGCAGCAAAAATTACACTATCAGCACACTTGGACTTTTTCCGGTTTTGAATTTATCAAAATCTTTTCGATCAGACAATTCGTCTCCAGCAAAACCGTCCATTTAGGACCAATGGGCCCTCAAACAAGATACGAATTAGAGCACTACGCCCTAAGTTTTCCAGTGGCTTGGCATGAATTGCGATGTATCATTTGTTAATGCATTTAAACCTATGGTAAAGAATCGATTAGTAGGGTGCTCGCTGCGAACACCCTGTTCATCGATCCTTTTCCATAGGTTTAAATGAAAGATCAATCGATATATCGCAAAGCTCGCCACGCCACTGAAGTTTTCTCATCGCACGAGGGAAGACTAAGTAATTAGGGAAGTCTGGAAATAAACGCTCCGAGACAGGTTATAACTTTTTACAATTCATTATAAATGTCAAATGACGTCAGCTGTATAATCTAACTTCCATTTCATCCTTGTTAACAATACTTCAGTGGCGTGGCGTGCTTTGCGATAGATCGATTGATCTGCCATTTAAACCTATGGAAAAGGATCGATAAACAGGGTGTTCGCAACGAACACCTTAATAATCGATTCTTTACCATAGCCACAAATGGGAAATTATCGATAATCGCCACTGCAATACCTACTCGTTAATATCTCATTCAGGTGTCCATTTCAGAACTTTCTGTTTTATGCATAGTTTTTTACGCAAGATTTTGAAGCGGAAACCCACGATGTTTTCTTTAGTTCAGATCTTGTCTTGTGGCTCATTGTCTCAAAACTAGGAGGAAGGGTCGAAAAATTCAAATATATATGACCTTGACCCTTGACGTCAATGTTTTAACGTTCAATCCAAACTTAGCGGTAATGAATGAAGGGATCAATCATAATTCCTCCGACAATATGACGCCGTTAAAAATCTGCAGGGCTATGTTATTTGAAGCTGAATGTTTGGCAACAAGGAGGAAAATACGAAGGAATTACACGTCTCCGCTGTGGATATCGATTGCTAGTCCCTTTTGAATTAAGTATTGAAGATGTTTCCATCCGTTCTTTTATCCTTTTGAGAGACTCGTGGCAGTGATAGGTATGCCAAGAAGTCTGTACATTTTTCCTTCGCTTGAAAAGATGTTTCAATGAAGTGCCATCTGCAGTGCGTCATTGCGTACAAATGAAATAAAAGCAAGCTCTTCGGGGTCAAAAGAGTTCATGCGCAAATTATCGTCGTGTTGATCATATATCGTACTTTGTTTATTTTTCTTGGAAATCGAAAATACTTCTCTCTGCCTTTGCATGGCTGCATAATCATTGAATTTAGTACATAAAAAAACTCATGACTCAATCATAACAACTTAGAACAACTTAGGTTTTTAAAAACTTAGGTATCAAAACTTCGAGCAATACCTTCCCTTACTTTCCTCTGAAACCAATCAAGACAAAAATAAAATATGGGATTTGCGAACCTGCTTTAGAAGAAACGTTAATTTACAACTGTAGGCATCGAAATGTTCCATTACAGGAAACTTAATTGCATGTGAAAACTCAAACGTTTCTATCTATAGCAATGTTATAAATTTCACGAGTTTACTTAATCATGCGTCAAAGGAGAAAAGACCAGTATTTCTTCAAAATATTATTACAAGATATCTTTCATGGGGCGAACAAAAAGTGGACAAAATTAAAAATATTTGTTTTTTTTACCTAATTTTATATTATATCCAAATATTTAATGCGACGTTACAATCCGAATTACAGAAACTTAATAAACTCAACGTTACCGCGGATGGAACAATTTCTCTACAGTCTCCCAAGTAGCAGTGATCGCAATAATTAGCGATTTTATCGGTTGGTGATCGCAATTATATTGGTGGTAATATATCGGAATATTATCGCATTAAAAATTGAAAAATATGGCGATTAAATCGCTACCCATCGCAATTTTTGGTTCGATAAAATCGTGATCAATTTTCGTCGATAAAATCGAAATAAAATCGCAATTTATCGTGATTTTCATTTCGAAATAATCGCGATAAATTGTCGGGGGATAAAAGCGCGATTTTATTGCGATAAGGTCGAGGATAATCGCTTAAATGTTGATGATCCTGGCGACTTCATTGCCGATAAAATCGCAATATATAGCGATTTTTCCGCTGAGAAATGCTACTTGAGCTAGGGGAGGTTCTTAAGGACGAAAACAAACTTTTTTTTATAAAAAGAATGAGACAATTTTAGATTTCAAAAAATAAATATTAATTTTTTATCTTATATTTTGTTGCAGTATCAGTCGAAGCAAGCGCCTTCCTCGGATTCTCAGTTGCTGTGGTGTTCGTATGCCTCCTATTCTTGCTCTACTTCAATCGAAAATGTACAAATACAAAAAACTGCAACGATGAGGTCTTCACTATCTCTGGACCCACTGCTCACATGGGTAAGTTTATTTAAGATTGTCAAACACTCAGGAACAAACACCTTACTATTTTCTCAGAGGTTTCCTTCAGATCACGTCTTAACATCGTAAAAAAATATAGTAATTAGAAAATAGCGGTGCTACCCCGACTTGAGTCGCGATACTCCCAAAATTAATGGGAAATGTCCATATCATCCAAGAAATTGGGGTAGTGCCACAATTTCAGGGGATAACCCCTGCCACTTTTTTTTCCGTGAGGGCTTGAAGGGGGGAAATGTTGTCAAGACCGGACTACCCCCTGAAGTATATAGTGCTTCTTCCAACCCTATGATATGCTTCCGTGGAAAACTTCTTTCGAGTCCAGGGCGACCATACGGCAACGTTTGTCCGAGCAGTATAGGGGTTGATGCTCGCTTTGCAAGGCGGTTAATATACTCGCGGGCCGAGGGATGCGGTGGTGCAGCGCATTGGGCGGGCCAGAGGGGCAAAGTCTAAAAAAGGAGGTCAACCCGATTCTGATCCTTGCACGGAGATCCGCCATCCCACCGCACACTGGATTGAGTCAATCGGAGAAGCCGGACAAAATGGAGATGTAGCATGTGTGAGAAATGTGCGATTTGACTACTGATTCTTACGTACCACCTCTACATCAAAACAAACTCTTCATGCAAAGATAAGGAGCAAATACATTAGCAGTGATGCCATGTTTTCACTTTTAGAGTCCCCAAATAAAGAGGCAGCCCTGCTAAGGTATTAGGTTCAAGACGAACTCTCAATGCAAAGATAGGGAGCAAATACATTGACAGGGCTGCCACTTTATTTGGGGACTCTTAAACTGAAAACACGGCAACCCTGCAGATGTATTTGCTCCCTATCTTTGCATGGAGAGTTTGTCTTGATGTAGAGGTGGACTCTCAGGATAGCGTGGGAAATCCCCTCCATTTTGGCCTCACTTTGAGAGCTTTTTTTGAGCTTGGGAGATGATTTAAGAGAAAACCAGTGGCATCATCGTGTTCCTCGCGAACTTTTACATAAGAATCAACGGTCAAATCGCAAATTCCTCACACATGCAACATCTCCATTTGGAAACTTTAAGTACGCATGACTCCGTCGAAACAAAACCTTGAGGTTTTGAAAGTGATTCCATTGGTTTCCTCGTGAAATTTTCGTCTGACACCACCCCTTGAAATTTACGATGTGACAAACTGAACATCAAAATTTGCAGTTTTAGTAAAAATGTTCATGTCAGACCTCTCTAATGGACCACTAGACAAGGTACGAATTTCAGCATTCGGATACATGCTTCTTAACAAAAATTTCACGTGAAACACGATGCGCACAACGAAAATTACCAAAATCAACTCCTTACGAAGATATGCAATAATTCTTGATGCGTGAATTCAAACCACCCGCTCACGAAAACTCAATGCTCTGCGTGATTCACATCGAGCGCTGAACGTTATCATGACAGTCTCTGCGATATGAAAATCTGGCAACCTCAATCTTGACGCTTTGGCTCAGCTGTAGCAAATTGCTTATAGTTTGAACAACACATGGTGGGAAATGAACATTGCTCGATTGAAAACATTTCAAAATCATTAATTGAAAAACGCTGACTCCGTGAGTTTAAATATTAGAGCCAAACGCAGTGGAGCGGCGTGCTGCCTGCGCTAAACGCGCATTGGCGCCTACAAACCTAACAGGGATACTTCACGCATTGCGCAATGCGTGAAGTATCCATGTTAGGTTTGTAGGCGCCCATGCGCGTATTGCGTTGATCGCCCTGACTCACGTAGAGCTTTGAGTTTCTTATGAGCGGGCAGTTCAAATTCCTCGTAACCAATGTGAAATAAAAGCGTTTATATCTTCGTATGGAGTTGAATTCAGTAATTTTCGTTGCGCGAATCGTGCTATACGTGAAATTTTAATTAAGAAACAAGTATCAGATTGCTTAAATTCGTACCTTGTCTAGTGGTCCATTGGCAACATTGTTATTTCTTAATTTAAACCTATGCTAGTGTGCTAAGGAAAAACGACGTATGAACCTTGAGGCGTTGCCAAATTTCCTTTGAAAAAACACGAATTTCCTGGTGAACTTATGAGTTTATTTTCCTTCCCATTTTCACGGTCATTTTGGTCGCTATTTCACCTGGATTTCCTTAACGTTTCAAGGAAAAACATTCATAACTTTCCTCAAAAATAAATATTTTATCGAAGGAAATTTGGCACCTCTCGAATGTACATACGGCGTTTTTCCTTAGCGCGGCAGTATGGGAATGTATCGATTTTTGGAGGGGCCAGGTGATCTGACAAGAATCGATTATTAAACGAAAGGGTAAATAGAGGAAATCCGGTCTTGCCGAATTGCTGGATCCGCTTCTCAGCTAAAGTGCTCAGTCTCGTACAAGTATTCCCGTGTGAATGCTGCTCTCTGATTGGTTCCCTAAATTTAGGCCTTCCATGAGGCTCGCCACTCATAAACCTGTTGTTGATAATCAGGTTCTGTAATTATACACCTGTTGACTATTTCTGGTGATTTAAATTACTGAGTATTATGATCCAACTAACCAATGTGAAATAAAAAAGGTTTATATCTTCGTCAGGAGTTGGTTTCAGTAATTTTCGTTGCGCGAAATGTGTTCTAGCCTCTAAGCGTGCTCTAAGCCAAAGCGTCAAGATTTAGGTTGCCAAATTTTCTAATCGCAGAGACGTTCATGATAACGTTTGGCGCGATGTGAATCTCGTAGAGCATTGAGTTTTCATGAGCGGGTGGTTTGAATTTACGCACCAAGAATCATTATATATCTTCGAAAGGAGTTGATTTCGGTAATTTTCGTTGTGTGCATCGTGTTTTACGTGAAATTTTGGTTAAGAAACCTGTATGAGAATCCTTTAATTCGTACCTTGTCTAGTGGTCCATTGACTCGATCCACTGTGCGGCACCCCGCTTGCCGTCGTTGCAGTGCCCTGCTTCGGAGCTTTCCCACTCTTTCCGCCATTGTTCTATTGACCTGTTGAGCGCACCCCCCCCCCCCCCCCNAGCACGAGCAGCGCACTCTGTCGGGAATTCACCCTCAAACTCCCCTTGCAACCACCGAAACGGTTCGGAGAGGAACATTGCAACTGATAAGCTTTGAGAGGTACGCCGCAATCACACGCTGAATGTGGGAGCTGAGTGTGGCTTGAATGTGGAAGTCATCGGCCCGATACCTGAATTTTGCGTGTCACGCGCAAAATTCAGCAACGATCCTCAGCGACCATCGGGTAATGTCGGATTTGTCTGAACTATTCGAATAGATTTGATACACTTTTAGATAAAAATAACTCGAATTGGTGAAATTTCCGCTGTTGAGCGCTGACTGTTGACCACCGCATTCAGCTGCCAAATTCAGCGTGTGATTGCGGCAATATGGTGGAGTCAGTGCTAGAGTATGCATATACTGCCGTGCTGAAAAAATGCACCGTATGAACGACGTATTCGAGAGCTGCCAAATTCCTCCGCATAAAACGTGTATTTTTGAGGAAAGTTATGCATATTATTCCGTGGAATTTTCAGATATTTTAGATCAAATTGCGAGAAAAATTATCTGAAAATTTGGAAAAAAGGTTCGCAATTTTCCATGAAAATTCGTTTTTCATTGAAGTAAATCCGGCAACGGTTAAGGCTCATACGGCCGTTTTTTCTTAGCACGAAAAAATAGTCAAATCAAGACATTTCATCAAATTGCTCGGCAGATTATCAAAAGACAAATAACGAAATTTTATAAAAGTATGGCGAAGAGCTCACAGATTCTCAGTATTTAGTGAAAAATCACTCCTCGAATTTTCTTGTTCGGAATATCTCCGCATAAAACACGTATTTTTGAGGAAAATTATGCATATTATTTCGTGAAATTTTCGAATATGTCCGGTTCAAGTTGCCATAAAAATTATCTGTGAAATTTGACCAAATACATTGCACAAACATACACACCCTTTCTATGTACTTGAAATCGAATCAGTCAATTTTAATCATCTGAACGATTGCTAAGAGTCTTTCGGATGATTAGTGGCAACTTTACAAAGAACGGAGGCTTCTTTCAGTAAAATTTTCCGATTAAGAGCGTCTGAGCCCGTTTTCTCGAAACGTCTGTTTTCCACTTACTGCTCTCTTCGCTAACACACACTGAAAAAAAATTCTCGGCGTTTTTACCACGGTCCGTTGGTACCTTTACCATCTCACTTTTTTTACCAATTATTGGTAATTTTACCAAGACAGGCTGGTAAGCTTACCTTAAAAACCGGTATTTTTACTGTTTTTTCAGGTAAGAATACCACTTTTATTGGTAATCAATTCCCGGTAACTTTGCCATTTTATCTCGGTAATTCTACCATAGTCTATAAAAAATATTGGCGTTTTTACCAAGGTCCAGTAAATTTACCGAGAAAGTTCAATAATTTTACCGAGATTTCTCGGTAAAATTACCAATTCCATAAATGGTAATTTTCCAAGAAAAAACTGGGATCAAATAGAACCCTGAATTCTTGGTCATTTTACCCTTTTCTTAGTAAATACACCGAGATTTTTTTCTCAGTGCAGCAGTACAGAACTCCTTTAGTCGAACAACATCTACATAACAATGGCTAGACGGAGCTTCTAGGAGTCACGTCCGTATGACGTCGATATGATGACACGGGAAGCAAAAACGCCTTCAATTTTTGATGTATACCGCACGGACAGCCACTGAGCTATAATAGTTGCATTCAAACGTTTGCAGTATGATCACGTCTCGTCGCATCACGTTCGTTGGTTGTTGGTAAAGATGCTGACGCAAAATAACTAAATAACGAGCCTGAGTGAACATTCGCTCATCTTGATTCCCATTCTGATAACATTGCTTGACGTATAAACCACGTCGTCTCTTTGTTGGGAGTTGTGTAATGAGACGCAGCGGAACGGAAATAGTTCGATCGATTTGAACGGAATTTTTTAAAAAGTGGGTCAGTTGCGCTGGTCACAGAATCGTGTTTTGGCGCTTGATTCTTTTAGATTAGCTAAAAATAATAATATGTGTCCAAACTACAACTTTCTACGTTCGAATTAGCCGAGATATAGCCCTTTGAAAAGTCGGGTTTTAGACGTCATACACCGTGGTAGTGCGACACCCTTGGTTTCTTCCACCTAGCTTTCATTCGAGATTCATGGGGAGTAGGTAACCGGTGCAAATGTGTGTTTCCCTGATCGATAAGAGCAAGGTGGAAGAAACCAAGAGTGTCACTACCGCGGTGAATGACGTCAAAAACCCGACTTTTCAAAGGGCGATACCTCGGTTAATATTGAACCATTGTTAATGGTTCCACAAAAGTGATTTTAGATTACGAATTGGAATCATCTCGTGACTCGAGCATTTGAAAGCGAGGGACCTCTACTTTTTCAAATTCTCAAGCTTTTAGCCCAAGCGTGCAGGAATTGATAAGATAATTTTTATTTGACCATACGAAAATTTCACTGAATTTTCCTTGTGCTGCCGGAAAAAATCAGTAAGAATTTTCAAACAGATTCAACCAACAATTTCTCTATAAAAAATAAAATGGCGGCGGAAAGTAAAATGTCACACGGATCATTTTTCTCTTTGTTCCCTTATTTCTATAAAAATGTTTCTGTTGCAGTTCGGAAAGGGGCATCGTTTGAGCGGGAGCTGGGCAAGCAGGAGTTTGGGGAGGAGGTATTTAAGCGGCTGCAGATGAAAATCAAAAAACATCACCCGCACGAAGGTTCCAAACTGCCTTCGCAAATCAACATCAATGTCCGTGAGTACAAATTCCCACGTAATTCTGCTCACATTTATTTATGTTTTTTTAAATTGACAGTTCACTCCTAAATTGCGTGACATTTTTGCAAGTCGTGCGATGAATGAAAATGTGTGTCTCGCCGATTGATGAAACCAAGCACAGTGGTTTTGAAGCAAAAAATAATGCAACAAAAATGTACCCAAGAACGGTTTGAGTCTACGGTGCGTGTGGACTTAAAATCGCGAAAACTCAAAATCTTGGCCGATCATAATTTCGAGATATCGCAATTTGAAATTTGCATGGTATATGCAAGTTTTCTACTGATTTGATACGCTTTTTTATTTATTTGTCCATTGAATCGGTGTTGATCGGCTCACGTTTTCCTTTTTCGTTCGATTCATGTCGATCGAATACATATACCCTCTCGTTACATGCAGACTACCTATCAAACTATTTTTTTTTAACTGAACAATTCGCCTTCTGCTCGGTCTGCAGTAATTATTGTTACGAATTTTTTGTGCGTGCTGACTTTAGCTCATTATACACTAGACTCTCAGAAGGCGTTTTATGTGCGAAAGCACTTCGCCTTCAGCTGCGTCTGCACCTATTGTTGTTGCGAATGCGTTGAGCGTGATAATTTTAGCTCATTACATACTCGACTCTCTGAAGGCGTTTTATGTGCGTAAGTAGCGCAATCTCTCTAGGAACAAACGAAGTAGGGATTTAGCGATTCATTCAATCTCACTTCTATTTTCCTCCAACAGGGTGCTCTACTTTCGCTTTAAACGCCGCAAGAGAATCAAGTACGCCCCTATTGAAATAAACATGCACAACATATTCGTACGTAACAACAATCGCTGCGGATGCAGCTGAAGGCGAACTGAAAACAATCATATAATACATGTTGAAAAACATCTTAGCTCTTTAATTAATATTGTTACCAATAGAGACTTGTATTTCATTGTCTTTTGGGGGAGGGGAGAGATATTCTCAAAAAACGAGCATTGAGGGCGTTTTACGCCTCATATCTTTCAAACTTTTTTGACGTACCGAAAGTAATTTTCGTGTGGTTTTATCCACTAAGAGTGCCTATATTTATCTGGCTAATTTTCTTACGTGCAACAGACCAATTGACCCGTTTATGGACAGCCCCATGTTAAGCTCTCGGATTTTGTGTAAAACTGATAATTGGACCACATTTTGCAATGATGAACTACAGTTTCTTACTTACTCCTGAAAGCACCTATCAGCGTAGGAAAATTAACGGCACATATGCTGTTTTTTAAATGAACAAGAAATGGTAGGTCCTCGTTGCAAAACGTGGTTCAATCAAGAGCTTTCCATCGAGTTTTTTAGAGAGATGTTTGACGTTCCAGATAAGAGAGAAAGGACCACATTTTGCAATAATGAGCTACAAGTTCTCAATAACTTCTAAAAGAACCAATCAACATATGGAAATAAACGGCACATATGTTGTTTTTTAAATGAGCCAGAAATAGTACGTCCATAGTGCAAGGCGTGGTTCAATCTGGAGTTTTCCTCCGAGCCCTGGTAAAAATTGGCGATAAGAGCTGCGTTTCAAAATACCAAAGGAATTCTTATAGCCGACTAAAGAAGGCTACAGAAAATCATATGGCTGGCTGTGGAATGCGGAGAAAATCATACGGCCGGGCTATACGAAGCAATAAAAAATTATGCAGCCGAGCTATAGTTCCTATCGCCGGGCTTTACACTTTATCGCCTGGCAGTTGCTTTTTCGCCATCGATTATAAAAGGCCTTAAGAAATTGTGTAGAAATTTGTGTGCTTTGGAAATCATTAAGTTTGGTACGGAACCACCTTAATATTCACAAAACACACATTTAGTTTTATTTTAGTACATATTTTTTTCATCAATTAAAATGAGAATAATCCATACAGGATGTGCAAACATTTCAAAATCATGAGTTGAATAACGCTGACTCCGCCAGATTAAATATTAGAGCCTAACACAAAGCGGTGCGGCGACGCACTGGCGCCTACAAACCTAACAGGGATACTTCACGCATTGCGCAATGCGTGAAGTATCCCTGATAGGTTTGTAGGCGCCAATGCGCGTTTTGCGCTGGCTGCCCGCCCGCCCGCCGCGCCGCGCCGCAGCGTACCACGGCGCAACTATTTCACACCAGAGTTATTGCACAGTATCATACGAAACTGAAGGCGCTCTAATATATAAGTAATGGCAGGCATCCATCAAAAGTACGGAGCTTTCCTCGCAAAATAAATCAAGATACTACGGACCAAAAAGAGAGCAGTATTCCAAAAACTCACCAAGTCCTAGCATCCGTAATTAGTAACGCTTAGCATACACTTTATCGCCTGGCTGTTGCTAAATCGCCATCGGCTATAAAAGGCTATAAGAAATTGTGTAGCCGGCTATAGAAGCTATTGGAAATCTTACAGCCGGCTGTAGGTCTATGGTATTTTGGAACACAGATTCTACTGCCAATTTTTACCAAGGGTTTTTGAGAGAGATGTTTGAAGTTTCAGATACGAGAGATGGGAGCGGTGAGATACAAAAGATGGGATCACATTTTGCAGTAATGAACTACAATTGCTCACTTACTCCGAAAAGCACCTATCAGCATAGGGAAATTAACGGCACTTATGCTGTTTTTTTAAATGAGCCAGAAATAGTAGGTCCATATTGAAAAACATGACTCATTTAAGAGCATCCCTTCCAGATTTTGAGAGAGATGTTTGACGTTTCAGACACAAGAGATAGGAGCGGCGAAATACAAGAGATGGGATCGGTGAGATACAAGAGATGGGACCACTTTTTTTCAATAATAAACTACAATTTCTTACATACTCCTAAAAGCACCAAGGAAATAAACGGCACTAATGCTGTTTTTTAAATGAGCAAGAAATATTAGGTCCATATTGGAAAACGAGGTTCTTTTAGGAGCATCCCTACCAGTTTTTGAGAGGGATGTTTGACGTTTCAGATACAAGAGATGGGAGCGGTGACCTGATATCGCTAGCGGAGAAAGGACGTATGGGACGCGGGAGTTGCAGTTCCTCCACCAGCGGCTCCTCGACCAGCGGAGAGGAGGAGCACGCCCTCCGGCACAGGGACTCCAGGTACACGAACCGACCAGAACGCCCAGACCGGCTTCTCGGCCTCGCCAGGCTACAAGACGACCGGGCACAGCATGTAAGCATATCGACTCCATCATCAGTCTTTAAGTTTTGCTTCCACGAAATTCGTGTATGGAGATGTTGCATGGTGAGGGATTTGCGATTTGACCATGGATTCTTACGAAAAAGTTAGCGAGTAACACGATGGTCCCACTGGTTTTCTCTGAAATCTACTTCCAAGCTCAAAAAAAGCTCTCAAATTGAGGCCAAAATGGAGGGAATATCCCACCCTACCCTGAGAGTCCACCTCTACATCAAAACAAACTTTCCAAGCAAAGATAGGGAGCAAATACATTACGTTTTTACATAATTTTTTACGAGAGAACGTTTGTGTGGATTCCTTTGAAAACGTTACGGAATTAGCTTCGTACTATAAAGAAATTACACTGAAAGCACGAAAAACCGCACAACAGTTTTCATGTAAAAAATTAAGTTGCCAAATTAAATTTGGCAATGGCTGATGTGGCTTGCACTGTTATTGGTTCCTTTCCGTTTAACGCGGTCCAAATATTTTCACTCCTTCCACAATGGAGATGTTGCATGTGTGAGGAATTTGAGATTTGATTGTTAATTCTTATGTAAAAGTTCGCGAGAAACACGATGGTGCCACTGGTTTCCTCTGAAATCAACTCCCAAGCTAAAAAAAAAAACTCTCAAGTTGAGGCCAAAATGTAGGGAATATCCTACCCTACCCTGAGAGTCCACGTCTACACCAAGACAAACTCCCCATGCGAAGATAGGGAGCAAATACATTAGCAGGGCTGACGTGTTTTCAGTTTCAGAGTCCCCAAATAAAGTGGCAGCCCTGTCAATATATTTGCTCCCTATCTTTGCATGGAGAGTTCGTCTTGGTGTAGAGGTGGACTCTCAGAATAGGGTGGAATATCCCCTCCATTTTGACCTCAACTTGAGAGCTATTTTTAAGCTTGGGAGTTAATTTCAGAGAAAACCAGTGGTACCATCTTGTTTCTTGCGAACTTTTACATAAGAATCAATGGTCAAATCGCAAATCCCTCGCACATGGAACAACTCCATTCACGAGATTATATTCGTACTAAAAGGATACACCCACTGATCGCTTCGCGGACAAACCCCGAGGCGCTTCGTGGCTTAGGCGTTACATGTTACTCGGGTGATACCGTTTTGACTCCTGTCAGAAAACCTGATTAATGCCGTGCTAAGGAAAAACGCCCTATGGTCATCCGAGAGTTGCCAAATTGCCGCCAGTAAAATGTTTATTTTTGAGAAGATTTGCGAATATTTTCTCTTGGGATTTTCAGATACTTTAGATCTGGTTACGAATGAAATTCTCTGGAAAATTGGAGGGAAAATCTTCGCAAATTTCCCTATGTACTCGTATTTTATCCAATGAAATTTGGCAACGTCTGAAGGCTCATTCGGCGTTCTCTCTTAGCACAGCAGCTTAGAAAAGCCAATTTGGTTCCCGATCCGCAACATGTTCCCTCCCATTTTCACAGGCTCATAGGACTATCAATCAGGAAAAGGTAGGCATGGTTAAAAATGTGGTTAGTGGAGGGTCATATTGGCCTATTTTTCCTGAGTCAGGAATAATTTAATACATTTTCCTGCTATAGTTTGATCTTGTCATGTCTACCTACTTTTCTGAGTTAAAAATCATTTGATTGATTGAAATTTTAAAAAAAATTCTCGACTTGAGATTTTCAATCACTAAAATGTTCTTATTCCTTTTACTTTTCATAAATTCCATTTACGGACCCCCATAAGTTGGATCCACATGAGTCGGAAGCTATAAAGGTTCCGGAGAAAAGGGGCCTATATTCTCTCATTCTAAACCAAAAAATTGAAAAAATTTTGAGAAATGAAAGCCGAATGTTGTTTGGAAAAAAAACCCTTGCATTCGATACAGTTATCGATCTCTGTATCGTTTTCAAACAATACTTCGCTTTCATTTCTTTAAATTTTGCCAATTTTTGGATTTAGAATGATTCTGCAGGTTTATGCGCAGGGGCCATTGTCCATTCTTATGGCTAAAAATTCAACGTCTGTCGAGATGTTAATTTGACGTAATCGATAAGATAATATATCACATGTTAGTTCGACCACGTCCGAAAACTTGAATCACCCTAAGATTTCTTCACTGGAAAAAAAACACATTGGATCTAGAGTCCAGACTCTTAAAAACATCGACAACATCATACCCCAAAATCGTTTGACGTGCATAAAGAGACCATAGATATGGTGTTTTGTGCCAATTTTGAATGAAATCGAACAGATGGATTCTGGGATATCGCTGTAGACAGATTTGGGGGACGTTGGACGGACGGACACACATTTTTTCAAGTATGGTTATTTTGACTCCTGGGACCTTAAAACGTCTAGAAATGATGAAATTTCAACTTTTTTCTTTTTTTCCCCCTGGAGGATGACAATACCTCCTCTCTACCCTAGGGGAGCGAGGAAGTAAGAACACATTGGATCTAGAGTCCAGACTCTTGAAAACATCGACAAGAAAAATTACTCTTAATTCAATCAGAATTTAGCTTAAATCAAGAACCAAGCCTCCTAATTTAAGCGGATTTCGTTTTGATTCAAGCAAAAATCCGATTGGATCAAGAGTATTTTTTCTTGTCAATGTTTTCAAGAGTCTGGACTCTAGATAAAATGTGTTTTTTTTTTCCAGTGCACGCGGTACGAATTTAAGCATTCTGCTACATGCCTCTTGACCTGAATTTCACGTAGAACACGATTCGCGCAACGAAAATTACCGAAATCAACTCCTAACAAAGATATTAACGTTTTTATTTCACATTGGTTACGGAGAATTTGAACTGCCCAACTGCGCCAACTTTATAGCTCCATGATACCCCAAAACTGATGAACCAATCAGATAGCGGCAAAGATATGGCAATATACTTGTTATATACTATACTTGTCAATGTTTTCAAGGGTCTGGACTCTAGATCCAATTTGTTTTTTTTCCAGTGATTCAAAAATACAATAAAGATTCAAATTGTTGTTGTTGTTGTTGTTTCTCATTCTCTATTGCTAATGATTAATATATATATTATTCTACCTCTCCTTCTCTATTGCTAATGATTAATATATATATATTATTCTACCTCTCCTTCTCTATTGCTAATGATTAATATATATATTATTCTACCTCTCCTTCTCTATTGCTAATGATTAATATATATATTATTTTACCTCTCCTTCTCTATTACTAACATTAGTCTTACTGAAATTCGTTGTGCGGGGTGTGTTTCAGTGCGTGGTGACGATGCCGCAGGAGAGTTCGATGACGTCGCCTGTGGAGTCGTGTCGCTCGACGATGTCGCCGCTGGAGTCGCCGCGGGTGGTGACGTTCGGGGAGCGGCACCGGCAGTCGTCGAGCGAGTCGCGCTCCTTCTCGCTCGGCTCACCGGGGACCGAGACGGACGACTCCTCCCTGGAGGGGCACTGCGGCTACCTGGAGGTCGCCTTCGCCTACGACGCCCCCATGCGCAAGATGACTGTCCACGTCCTCCAGGCCCGCGGCATCTCCTCCGCCGACCGAGGGTCCCTCCCCTCCGCCTTCACTCACTCACAAGTAAGTCCTATCGTCCTTGTTAGAGTCCCTTTATACTGAGAGTCAAGACAATGTGAATCCATTTCTGATTGGTTCCCGTATTTTAGGCCTTCACAGTGTCACAAACGGGAATAAAGATTACAGTTTCACCGATTGCAAAGATTATAATCTGGAATGGACCGGGGAATTACGGGTTCGGCAAGGAACAAACGGAATGAGGGAAGGAACGAAGAAAGGAATTCGAGAATGGGCCGATCAAAGATTACGAAAAACGTTCAATTTCTGTAATCTTTATTCCCGTTTGTGACTCCATGAGGGGTGTTGTCTTGACTCTCAGTAAAAAGGGACTCTAGTCCTTGTGCGGTCCTGTCAACAGAATGAAAGACGATAGGCTGCTAAGAAGATGCTTGATTGGGTTCCTCCTGGGAGGAGACGAAGGAGACTCCCAGTGAAAAGGTGGCGACAGGAGGTTTTAGAAGAAATGAGGGAGTGCCAACTCCCTGAAAGGCTTTAGGAGGATATGGGACATTGGCTGCTAGGTGTCGCATAGCGCGAGAGAGCGTAATAAAAACGGCTTTTATGTATATAGAAATTATTCATGATCAAAGAGCGGAACTACGTATCTAAATTGCGGCGTTTCAAAATTTCTCCTCGTATATTGTTTTTGCGGAAAGAAACAAGCCAATTGAATTGCTTGATATTTACTGTAGAATATCCTGCTAATAGGGAGGAGCGATTAAGCAGTTTTCAGGAATTTTCGTCGACCAGTTTTCCAAGGAAAAAATGAAGTACGACAGGAAGCCTGCAACGTCGCAGACGGAGATACTTGTTTTTGCACTTTAATCTTCGCACTTCTTTGGAGAATTTTTAAAACAATTTAGAGAATACTTTAGCGATCCAATTTGTTTAATCATGGGCAAAACTAGGGGCAGAACTAAGACGAGAAGGCCTGCCTCTTTGCTAGCTACCAACTCGGCCCTTCTAAGAAATTTGAAAGATATTGAAAAAAATCTCCTAAATTTTAATTCCACTTTACAAAAGTTTAAAAGAAAAAAGAAATAAAGTACAAATCAACTTTACCACTGACCTCACGAAAGTATTCAATCCACTTTCTTAGTAGCGAAAAAACTAAGTGGAAATTTAAAAGAAGGCGCACAGTATACTAGTTGCTCCATCCGAAAAATCTGATGGAAAATTGTATATTTCCAGGTACGCTTACAACTACTGCCAAGTAAGAAACAAAAACACAAAAGTAAAATTCGTCATGGCGAAAACCCTCAATTTGTAGAGAGCTTCATGTTCAACAGAATCAACCCAGGTAAGTCTAAGTTCACACGTGAAATTTTCAAACGGCTTTACCCTCCTTGAGATACTCGTATAATGATTGACCTTGATGTAATTGGACTGCATTTTGCAATTTAGAACTACAATATCTGGCTCAGCCTGGAAACAACGAATGTACCATTAGTTTTGACATGCACATGAGTGTTTTTACGGATAGGCTAGAAATTGTACTTCTTTACTGCAAAATGCAGTCCATTTATGGCCCTCGTTGGTTGCTTTGAATAGAAGCCAGTTAATAGTTGCTAAGACAAGATTTTGGATTCTACTCCATTTCTCAACGTATCTTCTCTCGGAGATCAAACAAGGAAAATGCTTGTCAAAAATTAAAAATATGACATTATCTAGAACCATATGGGTATCGACATTTACATCAAACAGAGGAAACCTCCGAAGCCCCCCCCCCCCCAAAAAAAAGCAAGAGAAACATTTCCCATTTCACGAATCTTAATCGCTAATATCTCTTTACCGGTTATCAGATTTCCTAAATATTTTATTATTGGGGCAACTTGTCAGGCACGTAGCGAAAGCAAAAATAGGAGGAAGAGACTGAAGAAAAGAAGAGATAGAAAATAAGAAAAGGCAAGAAAAGAGGAAGTTTGAACTTTCAAAATGCGTTCAAATACAGTTAAAATTCCTAAAATTTTCCAAATATGTTAAATGCAACAATTTGAAGGTATTGTAGGCTGAAAGTTCAAGAAGGAACTTAATTTTTTCGCAGAAATTGCTGGAAAATCTGCTTCACGGAAGTCTCAAAGTACGTCCAATTAGATTTAAAATTTCATAAATTTTCCGGGGGAGGTCAAACTCCTCCCTTAGTCCTCCCCCCTTAGCGGGGGGGGGGGGGGGGGGAGGAGGAGAACCTCGCTCTCCCGACCAAGCCCCCCTCGAAACAAAATCCTGGCTACATTCCTGAAACTTGTTAACTAATTTCTTGATTCAGGTCAATTTACCAATATATTTCAATTGATTTCCGCAGCGATTTCACTGAAATTAGGTCATATTCCGACTAAAAATTAATGTACCTAATTTTGTTTCACAGAGGAGGTAAACGGCATGGGAATACGGGTACGACTTTACGCATGCGCAAGAATGCGGCGCGTTCGGCTTATTGGTGAAACGGTCGTTGCTTTCGCGTCAATCAATCTGGAGCTGGAGAATAATATCTGGCTCACGCTGGAGCCCAAAGTCAGCAGCTCAGCGGTGAGTATTTGGAAATATAGTATTTAGAAATGAGGGGCTTGGAGAACAAGGCGTATAAGTGCAGTTGTTTCTATTTTGAGAAATACGAGATTGAAGGCACCCCGATGTATTGACGGTATGTTTCAAAAGCATGAAGTTCCCTCGCAAATTAAAATGAGTGACGACGACAAAAAGAGAGGGGTAGTCAAACAACTTACTAAGTCGTAGTATCTGTATTCAATAACGTTTGACATGTTTTTTGAACTTCATTAGAGGAAAAAGTGACTTGATTCAAGCAGAAATATACGCAAATTTACCGCCGAAAATATTTCCTCACGAATGGAAAAAAAAAGTTTGTATATAGAAGAAAGTATGCTTTCATGAAAAGAAAAGTCACTTACATCAAGCAGAAGCCCGCATTCATTTAGCAATCATATTCTTGATTTAAAAAAAATCTGCTTGACAGCATACTCGCAAACATTTCTGCCTAAATCGAGCCACTTTTCTCCCTTTTTTCAACAAGAATTCAACAATATAAATTCAACAATTATGTTAAACGTTATTAAATACGGATAATAGGACTTGGTGAGTTATTGGGCTACCGCGCTTTCTTTTCGTGCCGTGGTATCTTGACTTATTTTGCGAGGAATGATCCTTACTCTTAAAGAATGCCTGTCATTCTCAATATGCTGGAGCGCCTTCAATTCCGTATGATACTGTGCAACACTTCTGTGGCGAAATAGTTGCTTGAAGCGCCGCGGCGGGCGACGCATTGCGCAATGCGAGAAGTATCCCTGTTAGGTTTGTAGGCGCCCATGCGCGTGTCGCGCTGGCAGCACGCCGCTCCGCTACGTTTGGCTCTAATATTTAAAGTCGCGGAGTCAGCGTTTTTCAATCAGTGATTTTGAAATGTTTTTACACTCTGCATGGATTACTATCATCGAAATTGATGAAAACAAAAATATGTATTAAAAGAAAACCAAATGTGTGTTTTGTGAATATAAAGGTGGTTTCGTGTCAAAAATTATTTCCAAAGCACTTTAATTTTTTTTTTTTTTTTTTTTTTACATTTTGTGCTTTTACTGGGCTGCAGCGTGGTGTACGCGCAACCAAACTCTCAAAATTAGACGTATTTGCCTCTAAAGATCGATGTACGAATGGGCTAAAACCAAAGATTGCCAGCTTCTTGGTTCATTTCCCTCTCTTATTCATTTTTGTACCTATAGTTTCTTTGAACACAACTACGGTTCATTGAGATAAATATCGATGCCATCGCTTGAAAAGGGTTTTAAAAATATTTGTCACGTTTTAAGAATGTGAATGTTTTTGAAATGAAGTAATATTTAACAAAAAAAAAATGCACATAAAGTATATTTTACGTCGACAATTTTAAGGATAGAAATAAAACCAAATATTCACCGATAACAATTTGAAAAGATGAATCAACAGAAGAAGGTGACATTTCATTAAAAAAATGAGTTCAGAACAACACATCCTTCTCTCTCAATTTTCTAATTCCGATATTGTCAATATAATTTTACATACGGACTAAAGTATAACGCTTGGACCAAGTCACTGTTGCTTATTTTACGCGTGGACGTAAACTACTGGACAAAACAGGTGCGCGGACAAAAATCGTTGACGGAGTTTCCTGAAACCGAGAAAATTCACGACAAATTTCAAGAGAGACTTCAGGGTGGGTAGGTTTCTTTGAAGAAAATAAAATATGAGCGGAGGTTTGCAGTGTTGCAATCAGAGTTATTCAACTCTCGCTATCCGAATTCTACATTAATTTCAGCTGTGATAATGGTTATAAATCTGAAATCTCGACTAAATCTACTTTCAAGGTTCTTTAAAATGACATGTGAATTAAGTTTACGACAAAAATGTTACCTTTATTATTGCAAAATATATTGTCCATCTGGATTACATTTTGCAAAAAGGAACCACTATTTCTGGCCCATATTTGAAACAACATATATGCCATTGGTTTCCCTACGCAGATATGTGCTTTTATGGGAGATCCAGAGATAGTAGTTCCTTATTGCAAAATGTAATCCAATTGATATTTAGGTCATAAATCGTCGCTCCTCTGGCGTATGGGGCGTTTGTCGATTTCCGAAGGAGCCCCAGAAAACATGGGTTTGTATGTAAAACAGCGGGCCGATTATTGAAATTGATAGACAAAGAAGACAAAAGGGATACGGAAAGATCTTATTGGTTGAAGCGGGTGGTTGCAATGGACAAAGCAGGTGGGTAAAAGACTAACCGGCATCCCACGAGAGACCCGATAGTTAGTCCATTTTTTTCTCCCTTAGTCTATAGGGACCACTCATTTCAATCAATAGGATCGCTCCATACCTCTGTTTCTTTTTTGTCCATCGCTTTGTCTATCAATTTCAATGGGTAATCAGCCTGCAGGGCTCACCTAGAAATTAAGATAAGCCCATACGTCAGAGGAGCGACGAAATGAAAGACCCTCTGAAACGAGTAAGTATTTCATTCTATATACTAAACTGTTGCAGCTGAGCATTTTAAACTGCGACAAAGCGAGCCTTTCGTGCAGTGAGAGTGTTGCTGAGAGCACCATTTCCATGCAACACGGTGGAGTGGCCGAACTCCTGGTCGGCCTTGCCTACAATCCCACCACCGGATGCCTCTCCGTCGAAATTATCAAAGGCAGTCATTTCCGGTAAGTTCCTTTGCAGAGGCGGATCCAGCAATTTGGCAACATCGGATTTCTTCCTTTTAAATCTATGCTTAATGATCGATCCTTGTCGGAGCACCTGGCCCAGAGTTAAGAAATATCGTGAAAGAGAGAGAAATTTCATGAGGAAATTTCAAGAAATTTCATGGGGAAAAAAGAAATTTCATGAAATTTAAGAAATTTCATGGGGAAAAAAGAAATTTCACTCGATGAAATTTCTTTCAGTAACTCTGACCTGGCCCCTTTAAGAATCGATACATTTCCACATTTCCACAGGTTTAAATGGAGAGAAGACAATGTTGCCAATTTGCTGGATCCGCCAATGATCCTTTGTCGGATCAAAGCGTCACTAAACCATGAACGAATTTTCACCTGCTCATAAATTTTCGGAAAGTAAATGACGCGTGAAAACGATGCGTGACATCACAAAAACGCGAAAATTTAAATCAGTAACCGAAAAATACGCAGTTGAAACAGCGCAACTTTTCGGCAAATAAAACTGGTTACACGCCATACCGAATGATGTCATCCGGCACCAATCAGAAGCAAGCAGGAACGAGCCAGGTTCGCAGTTAATCAATCGTGTTCCATTGGTTTATATGGACTGTATTTTGCAATTTGGAGCTATAAATTCTGTCTCATCTAAAAAAACACATATATGCACAGGGAAACTAATGGCACATACGTTGTTTTTAAACCAAGCCAGAATTCATAGCTCCAAATTGCAAAATGCAGTCAAAATGGTAGAGGAGCAATCGATATTTCGCAAAATCATGCCGCAGCACTGATGAGAACTTCATTTTACGTCGAACCATGTTTTGATGACTCTAGTAAATTAGGGACGAATATTTTCTCTTTGAAAAAAATAAAACAATATCATATTTTACAGGAACCTCGGGATGACTAAAGCACCTGATACGTACGTCAAATTATGGCTTGTAAGCAGCACGGGGGTTGAGATCGCTCACAGTAAAACATCAGTTCGGCGAGGCCAGCCCAATCCCCTTTTCAAGCAAACTTTCATATTCCAGGTGAGTTTTCCCGGATTTTTTTCTCCGTTTCTGATCAACGCAAATTTTAATTTCCAAAAAGTAACGAAGTTTGTAGGTTTGGACAATTTTTTCACTTTTCCTCAATCTCTCAAGATGTCTGGTCAAGAATTTCCGACCGTCTCCTGTCTTCAAGGATTTTCAGCGTGAAAATGCCATTCACGAGACGATCTAACAAACAAAATAAGCTCTAACGATAAATGTATGAAATGCGATTTTATTTACTCGAGAATTTTAACAGGGCTAGAGGTTGACCGCAATATTTTCTGAATTCGTGGTTATGTAAAAGTTACTAGTACCCTGTAGTTTGAGTGTTTCTCGTTGCTGTTACATTGTTAACATGGGTCTAATTCTAGGTTGCCGACTTAGAATGAACTTTTCTCGAAAAATACGCAGAAAATCCTGAGACATAACATTTGCTTACTCCTCGAGTGTTTTACTTTAATAGTGCCGAAGGGTTTTCGTACATCGGTGCTACTATCTTATCATTTAAAGTTAAGTGCATGTCTTTTACCGATTTTTGTCCGCATCGTCCATAAGGATGCCGCACTGTGCGGCGTGCTGCCAGCGCGACACGCGCATTGGCGCCTACAAACCTAACAGGGATACTTCACGCATTGCGCAATGCGTGAAGTATCCCTGTTAGGTTTGTAGGCGCCAATACGCGTGTCGCGCTAGTCGCCTTCGCCCGCCGCGGCGTTTTTCCTTAGCAAGGCAGTATTGGACCGCTTCAAACAGAAAGGAACCAAGCCACATCAGCTATTGCCAAATTTTTACATTAAATTTTTTACATGAAAACAGTAATGCGGATTTTAGTGCAAATTTCAGTGAATTTTCTCCATAGTGCGAAGCAAATTCCCCAACATTTTCGAAGGGATCCGCACAAACGTTTTCTCGTAAAAAATTAAATTGCCCGGTTAAAATTGGCAATACCTGATGTGGCTTGGTTCCTTTGTATTAAACGCGGTCCTATTCTCCTCTAAAGGCCTCGATAGACGATCAAATTCCCGAACCAATTCGGATCAAAGTAGCATCAAAGTGTCGGGAGTCATCAGTCTTAAACTCATTAATTTGCTTCGTTTTAAAATGAAAACTTGACAGGAAATGATGAATGGTGGCACTCCGTTCTGATCTTACTTTGAACAAAAAAGTGCGGCCCGTCAAAATTTGATGGTAGATGGTAACCACCAGTCATCAGCATGTCTACTTTGATCGGAATTGGTTCGGAATTTGATCGTCTATGCAGGGCTTTTATCTGTAATTATCTAAATCCTCCGTTGGAACCGTTCCAGGCGGCCTTATTCCAGTTACCGGATGTGACGTTGATGGTGGCCGTTTACGACAGGCGCCCGATGAAGCGGAAGGACATGCTGGGGTGGTTCTCGCTGGGACAGAACAGCTCCGGTGAGGAGGAACTCGCGCACTGGGACGACATGCGCCAGGTGAACGGCGAGCAGATCGCGCGCTGGCATGTCCTCCTGGACACTTGAACACAACGAAGCTCGCGCCGTGGCGAGCAACCAGCAACGACCAACCAACCCCCAGCTCCGTTCTAGCCAGGTGCAGAGTGGGCCTCTCTGCTCTTCTGAGAGCCGATCAAAGACGGGAGAGATGGACCAGGGTGGCAAAATTTCATGGTATATAAAATCTTGAAATTTCACGTGATATATTTCATGAAATTTTCAGAAATTTATGAAAGAGCTGAAAAATATCGGCTCCTTTTCATGTTTCGTGAAATGTAAAAATTGGACCGCGTTAAACAGAAAGGAACCAAGCCACATCAGCTATTGCCAAATTTAATTGGGCAATTTACTTTTTTACGTGAAAACGGTTGTGTGGAATGTGCAAATTTCAGCGAAAATTCTCCATGGTACGAAGCAAATTCCTTAAAATTTTCAAAGAAATCCGAGCAAATGTTCTCACGTAAAAAATTTAATTGCCCAGTTAAACTTGGCAATGGCTGATGTGGCTTGGTTCCTTTCTGTTAAACTCGGTCCAATTGTGATTTTCTCTATGTTTCAGTGTTTGAGTGCGGGTTGCAATGGTTGCATACTCTAGCCCCTGAAAAATATGAAATATTTTACAGCCTCTTGAAATTTCATGAAATATTTCATTGAAATTTCCAATCTTTCATTTCTTTCTTACATTTCATGCTACCCTGGGTGAAACTTTATCCTTTCTTTAGCACACTGATAAAAATATTTGTGTTCTTGTGTTACTTTTGGCTAATACAGGAAATGAAACACAAACCAGCACAAATATTGTAGACATATACGCGCCTTGTCCTTCAAACCCTTTAATTCCAGTTTGTAGGAGGTACCAGCCATTCGATGTTTTGGCATATAGTTTTGTCCTGAAAGATTGAATGGCTAATACCTCACCATTTACAAATTTCTATTTTTTGGCCATAGATCGATATAGAGATCGGAACATTACAAAGAAGATTCCGTCTGAAAGTCAGAAAACAGTTATCTTGATTAGCGACGATGGATATTCGTGTTGGATCTTTGTTCATTTTTTGGGAGGAGAACTGGATACCTTCACAGAGAATTTTCCGCTTGGAAACAAGGTAAAAAACAGACTGGAACTGGAATCATTCCTCTCAAATTAATTAATTGTAATCCAGATCCCATACTCCTTGACACCATTTTTCAAACGAAAAAAGGTGTTTAGTTTCAATTGGCTAAAATGAAGCGACTATAAAATCAATATTCTTAATCAACAGATGTTCAATCTATAATCAAGAAGATCATTTTCGGCGCCTAGAACAGGGAGGATAGGCAAGAAGCTTGAAGCTTCCACCATTGATATTTGTTAATCTCTGGTCTTTTAGGTATGGCAGCATTTTTTAGCCTGTTAACGCCAGCTAACTTCGATCTATCAAATAGAGCGGTTATTTCTTCAACCTCCCACGGGAATCTACAAATCTATCCCAAATCTACAAAGCATTTTAGTGTAACAAAATGCACTAAGTATTCCCGTTTTTTACCTTACGATTGGAATGTGAAATCGAGTAGGCCGGGAACAGTCAAGATTTAAATTTAAATTAAATTTATTTAATTTTAATATTGATTTAAATTAGCGATAAATTAGCTAAAAAAATGAACGAGTTTTCTTCAAAATTGAATAGGAGGGGGAAAATCAATCGAAACTTTTGTCATCAAACCTTGACCAATACGAGGCTCTTACCTCAAAAATAATTCCTGGCAATCTGTAATTTAAAAATAAAACGATGATTGAACCCCAAAACCACGGATCTTCACTGCGGCGTTTCAACAGTTTTTGCGAGTACTTATTTTAAGGAAGATAGGTAAACCAATTAACATTTAAGCTTCAAATTTACATGAAATGGCCATGGAATGGCGATGAACAATTATGAGTTTCAAGCCATATTTTTATAGTTTGTTAGAGATTTTTTGGCAACGTGCGTTAAAAATTCAGCATAAAGCTGAAAATCTCAATGCAGGCAACTGCCAACGCGTATCTTGGGCCTTGTTGGGCCAATCCTGAATGGTCTACCTCAATGGACGTAACTAGTGTTGCACCAAACAGCATATCTCTTTGAGGGAAAACTATGCTTATATGAGCTTTTTCCCTCTGTGCTGAGATTTTCAGCTTTATGCTGAATTTTTAATGCACGTTGGCAAAAAAACTCCAACAAACTGTCTTACGACCCGTGCGTCCACCGCAATCACTTTATGCTTAATTTTATCTTAGAAAGTGAAATATACACATTCTGCAAATTTTTTACAAAAAAGAAAAATCCAAAAGTGATACGTGGTTATAGGGGTTCGCCATCAAATACCTACTTAAATTTAGTTTTCTATTGACAACAAGCAAATGCATTTTAGGGTACCTATAAAACTTCTGAATTAATCAGCATACATTTTTTAAGAGTTAAACGTCTTTACTACTAACAACCTATCCTTATTTTTTCATTACGACGCACATGCACTTTATACATGCACTTTCATTAAATAAAGTATCTTTAGAAATGGCTACCTACCTAATGGTAAACATTGAAAATAGAAAGTTAAGAAATTATTTTTTCATTCAATTTTTCATCTGATGGAAAATGAAATTTTTCATCAGCTTAATTAGTAGTTTTTATTTTAAGAGGGATTCTTATATGTTGTCCAAAGGATTTTTCGGATGGACATAAAATCTGGAAATTACGGTGATATGTTAATGATAGCATCCTCTAAAACGAAAGCCTTGAAACACCCATGAAATGTTCCTTTACCGATTGGAAATAGAGGGACACAAAAACAGACCTGTGAAAACCATTATCTATCCTCTATTTTACTTTTATTTAATTTACAGGGAATCCAGCCCATCCCTGATCAGTCAGGAAAAAAAGTTACAGAATTTGGCGCGCGGATTTTTTTTTTTCCAGCCAAAATATTGCATTTTTCACTTTCAAGATAGGTACTTGTAACGCACACAATTGTTTATGATAAGAATTTTTAACAAAAATCATGTTAAAAAACTCTAAAAATCCAGTAGACAGTGTAGACACCCTGCAGATCCCATGCTCATGCATATATTAAAAATGGTTGGAATCAAGGGACTAGATTAGAGAGGATGGCTCAAGTAGAGATTTTTCAGGAAAAATCACTTCTCAATGCTGCCGAGATGGGGGATAGCGCTGTGTGAAAATTCAGATACGGCCGAATTTCTCCGACACGAATTTACTAGACAACTCGTTCGTATTTTCGTTGATTTTCAGAGACTGTCATTCGCAATTTCATTTAACTATCGGGGCTTTTACATTTCTACTTTGAATTTCCCTTGTTTTCCCTATATTCTCCCTGATTCATTGCATAAAATACCTCTTGACAACTCATTCGCCACAAAGGTGTAAACTACCATGATAAGGAAAAACGGCGTAAGCACCTTTGTCAGTTGCCAAATTTCCTTTGATTAAATACGAATTTTCAGGAAAATTTGTGAATATTTGTCGCACAATTTTTCAGACTTTTCTTCGAATTAAATCTAAATCATCCGAAAATTTCAAGAGAAATAATATACATAACTCTCCTCAAGAATTAAAATTTTACTGGAGGACATTTGGAAACTCTCGAATGTTCATACGGCGTTTTTCCTTAGCACGGCAGTAAATACAATCACACCTCTGAGGTTCTGATAGATGACGACTTAAAACAGCTACCTCTGCTTTTTAAATGTCTTGTCAAAATCCGCAACCGCACAATCCTATTCTAAAGTTACCTAATATTTAATGGGTTAATACTATTCGAAAAGGTAAGCTTTCCACTTGAAAAAATAATTTCCTAAGTCAACATCAAATTCCCCCGGCTTTGCCTGTGTTTTCCTCAAATTTTCATTCCCTGAGTTTTTTAAGCCCAGTAGAGACCCTGGACCCTACTGAAAATGTCAAAGAAAATATTCATGACATCTTTGAAATGGACAATTTTTCAGATGAAATGTGGCAACATTCAAATGATCATTCAGCGTTCTTTCAAAGCGCGGCAGAATGAGTCTTAGGTCAAAGCAAGAGGAGGGCAAACTTTTGGGCACTCTCTTCAGAGAGAATGATCTCCCTAAAGTGAAAATTTCTTGATAGCATGCTAGTAACAAACGATAGTGATTTGTCCTTTTGTCAATGATACTAATTTTAATTTGCAGCGATTACAGGGTGTCTAGGCACTAGAATTTAATTCTGGATTTTCCTCATTTATTCCTGATATTTGACGAGGTTTCCTGTTTTTTGCGCTAATTAATTGAACTAATTTCGTGCAAATTAATTGACACTCGTTGGATTTTATTGACAAGCATTTGATTTTCCAGTTTTTCTGGTGTTTACTGATGGTAGACGCCATGATCTAGGAGATAAATGGACTTCATTTTGCGATTACGAACTACAATATCTGCTCATATTGGAAAAACATTTATCTGTATATGGAAACTAATTTTCTAAATTGAGCTAGAAATTATGATTCGTAATTGCAAAATGTACTCCAATTGAAAGAGCACTTGAGAATCTCCCTGATTCTCTTGACACATATTGATAAAATTCCCTAATGATTGAAGATATGCTAAATGGTTAAAAAGATATAATTTGAAATATTTTTTGGCAAAATTTGCTATGCGAAACGTCAAACCCATTTCAGAGAGCAAATTAAGGTGATCAAACAATTTTTCCCTGACATTTCCTGGTTTTCTATTACCGTAGCAACCCTGTCCTTGGGATGAATTTTTAAATATGATATTCTGACAATCATTTCAAGATGTTGAGTCAATTGTTTTGACTGCCACTAGTCAAAGAAGCAGCTTTGGCCGTATTCAATGACAGCTAGATTCACAATCAATTATTTATCTTCATCTTCCAGTTGATACGTTTTACATGATGCTATCATTGCGAAAAAAATATTCTCAGAAAAAAAAGGAATGAGACAAAGACAAGTTTAAATTTGCTCCAAGAAAAAAAAAACTTTAAAAAAAGCTGGAGCAATTTTTGGGAATCCAATATCCTTGGTGCAGACGATTCATTTAAATTTTTTACGTTGAAAGTATTTTGTATTTTATGATTATATTTTACGCTTTGTTAAATTTATTACTGATATTTATTACTGTTCTACCTGGAACTTGAATATATTGAATAAAATGTTTTACAGTTTTCTTCAAATGGCGGCTTTATTCATTTTTCCCACCTTGATTGCAGGCATGTGATTTTTTTTCCGGTAAAAAAAGGAGGAGTATCAATAAGGGCCATTTTAGGACCCAATGTGAATTTTCTCACAATGTCGTCATTTGTGGTCCTAAACATGGGTCTAAAAGCCGATTGTAGCCAAAAATACGGATATTTCGGGATCCAACAACAAGCCTGCACTTTTCTACAAACTCGGTCTTCAGATCCATGTTTAGGCCAGTGTAAGACCCTCAAAGAAAATGAAAATGATCAATACAAGATGCATTTCGTGAAATTTTGAACTTCAATTAGCAAAAATTCGTATGGTTGAGAAAATTCAGGGTACCCCCAAAACATAGCTTATGAAACCCCTCCTTTGTTCAAATATATTGACTGCTTTTTTAGAGTAAAATCTTTTAAAATATCTGATTAAAAATTAAGGCAAGGTGGCTGCCCCAGCAATCTGGATGCAGTTTTCAGAGAAAAAGAAGATTTAAGTGCTTCCTGAAAACAGTTTATTAGCTTCCAGGAGAAACATGTACAAAAAATAGTAACATCTTTTGTTAAAAATAACGTAAAAAAGCTTACTTCTACATTAGTTCCTTGTGCTTACTTCCTCATCAATCCTAACATCTTCACTTTAAAACACACAAATTCTCAAGTTGTGAGGAATGGCATGTACAAGATATTTTAACTCTTAATGAAATTTTGATCAAACATTAAAAAAACACTTTCTTAAAAGAGATAATGCATAGAATGCTCGAAACATGTACCAAACAAAAAGTAAGTAATAAGAGCAAACATTTAGTCGGAACGAATAAAATTTGAAAAATGACTATCAAGAGTACGAATATTCTTCAAGACAGCTCATGCTTAAAAGAGACCTTTAGTTTGACAAATGAACTACAGAAGTTTCCCATCACCTTTACTTTTACTTTTCTTTGGACTACCTTTCTTCTTGTAGAAGTTTATAGTGATGTCCCAGAAAAAATAACGATTTCATACATGGTCTCTATTTATCAAAGTATTTTCAAAGTTATGAGCGTAAGATAAAATTGTTTCAAATTTGTTGATGGGCTCAAAATACTGAGACTAAAATTATAACCCGTAACTTTAGTAGGAAAGCTATTTGATATCATGTTACAATCTCTGCTTAAATAATCAAAAGGTCACATTTATCGGAGAGACAATGATTCTGCTTTAAAAGGCATTTTTTGAAATATCTGTGAGACTCTAGTTGAATTCAGCGATGGTCATTTGAAATCAATATAATTTAGATGATCCATGCAGACAAAACATCACAGTACTGGCATAGTAAGGAGCGCGGAACAAAAAAGGCGCATGAAAACCCCAACTGACTTTGTGTTCCTCTAATTAGGTATCATCTATTATTTCACTTACAACTGAGACTAGATCTGTAATTTGCAAAGGGGAATAATTTCAAAAGGCAAAATATAATTCTATCGAACAAGATCAAAATGAAGGAAAATTCTATTTCAAGTTCGGTGCCTAGATAAAATATAAATAAGACAGTGATTGTCTTTAATCAGTTGATCAAATACTGAGCATAACAGACGAACTATTGGATGAAAATCATGACAGAGCACTGAGTTTAATGAACCTGGAAAACCTAATGCTAGATGAGAAATTCAAACTCATAAATTTTCTCTTTCCGTTTTAATGATTTCTAAAGCGCTTGCCCCCAACAGAAGAACTCTTGAGCCCTATCTGAAATCTACTCCGAAGACAAAGAACTATAAGCAAATCACAATGTACCACAATCCCACCAAGGTGACTCCGGTTCACGCTAAACAGAGCCAAACAATAGTAAGGAGAATGTTAGAATTCCCACTATATTAGAATCGGGACATGCGAAAACCGCTAACATCCATTTTTCCAGTCTTAAGTGTTTATGAGTTCATAATACTTTTCGGAGTTGGTTGCAACCTTGAAAGTAGCATTAAAACTCATCTTGGAATTTCCTTAATCCCAAGACGAGTCCTTTCATCACTTTAATGGTTGTATCAACTCTTTAAAAGCATTAAGATCTCAAAAACTTGAGACTGGAAAAATGGACATTCGCGATTTTCGCATGTTCCAATTCAATTAGTCATTGCTTGAGATGAACGGTGATCACCTTGGGACTGTACGAACAGAGAGAATCATGATGAATCAAATGTTATGGGTTCACTCCGGATAAGGTATGATCAGGGTAATTACTCCTATTTACATTGGAACTGAAGGCATTAAAAGGCTGGAAGAGAGGGAGTGTTGAAAAATGTAACAGGTAAATAAATAAAATTTTGAAAACAGGGAACCGACCGATTACAGGAATTCATCACACCAATCTGCAAGACACTGGTGGCAGTCGCTGGACTGTTTAACGTTGGCTCCACAGACATCCTTCATCCAGTCTTGAAATAAATCTTTGTTCTTCTTCAAAACTAGGAACTGACCAAGGACAACGTATGCCTGTAACAGAAGAATGGGCACACGATTAGAAGTGAAATGTACACTATCAGGGTGTCCAGTTTTTTTTTTCATTTTGGGAAATCCTGATTTTTCCTGATTTTTGACTGCTAAATCCTGATTTTTTGCAGAGAAAAATTAAAATATCTGCATTATTGTAAGCGAAAGCAGTCCGATCGGACAGCCGAATTTTCTCCAATCCTGATTTTACGACCAATTTTTCTTCAAATCCTGATTGACCCCCAAATCCTAATAGAATCGGGAAAATCCTGATGCTAGACACCCTGACTATGGCGCCCCGAGAACATAGAAATAAAATAGGACAGGAAAAGGCAGAGACAAGGCTGAATAACACGATAATGTACAAAACACGGGATGTTTTGACGGTCTCCCAATCATTATCAACCGTCCGAAAAGAAAAACCTAAAAAATATAAAAAAACAGAAACTAATAAACAAAGCTGCTATGGCCAGGGAACAGTGACATTGTTTTTTGGCTTTTGCTTTTTCAGATTTTGGAGTTTTTTTTTTAGTTTTTTCTTTTACGGTGGTTGATAATGACCGGAAGACCGGTCGAAATGTTCCTTGTTTTGTAAATTATTTTCAGCCTTGTCCCCGCCTTTTCCTGTCCCATTATATTTCATGATTAGAAGCAGAGGGTTTATGTTGACAAAAAACAAAACTGAAGGACTTTCAATGAGTTTTCTGAGAGCTTTGAACTAAAAATACAAAGTCAGCTGAGGACTTTTTCAGATTATCATCAAAACTTTCAAGAACATAGAAAGAAATCTACGAGACGAGACAGAGAGTATCAGTGATGGTGTTTAAAAAAGGTCCATGTTCCTGCCTTACAATTTACGACAGTGAGCTCATTAAAAATCAAAACAACAGTTTTCCGCAGGGGCAAAAACAATTCGCCTAAACAAGGTAGTTACAGATTACTATCAGTACAGTTTTGAAGGTCATTTACTCATTTTCTTTTTTAAATTTTAGATTATGACTTTCGTTTCAGTTGAGAATGAGCATGTAATTGGCCTGGAACATTTTGGTTGTGTTCATTTATTCTGTTTTTAGCCTTGAAAATCCATTTTTTGTATATTTCTAGTATTTCATTGTTCGTGAATTACTTTGCCTTGAAAAAGAGCTTTGTTTTTCAGAATTTATTTTCAGCTTGGGGGTAAAAAACGAAGCTTCTTTTCTTTCAACATTTTAACAAACGTGATTTCCATGAGGACTTCAATTTACAACAAAGAAATGATGAGGACATCATGAACAAGGACATGGATAGAAAATCTTGAACATGTGCGTGTTTAAACTCAGAAGAAATTGTTTCTGAGGATATTCAAGCAAATAGGTGGTCTGCCACAAACAAACCATTAATTTTCAGACAAAGCAGGTGCAAAATTCTTCCTGCGTTCTATGCTAGGTAATTTTACCTTTATGAAGAGATTTTCTTAAATTTGATGCTAGGTATGCATAAATAATAGCAGAAAATCAAACAATATAAAAAACTGCAAAAAATGGGACATGGAAAAAGTTTGTCTGTTCAAATTCGTGTGAAAATTTAGCTTCGGCATTTCAATAGAAATAATACTTCTGACAAGAGGGAATATTTCACATCGGCTGTAAATAATTAGTAAAATAACAACTTAATTTGAAGAAAAGGCTGCAAAAAAACAACAAAGGATAAACAAAAACCTGGAACGTTTCTACATTAACAATTCCATTTTCAACCGGAAAAAATAAAAATGAGCCGTCGATTCGCTGTTATTGTGAGACCAAGACTCAACAACCTGTTTCTCTCTCGCAATAACAGCGAATCGACGGATCATTTTTATTTTTTCCGGTTGAAAATGAAATTGTTGATATTTTGAAATGTTCCGGGTTTTTGATTATCCTTTGTTGTTCCTTTGCAGCCTTTTCCCCAAATTAAGTTGTTATTTTATTATGTGACTTTTCACTGATAAGTTGTTTTTCATTCTGTGAATAATTAGGTTTATTGATTAGTACCTTGTCGAATCCTTGACTTTCTAATTTTTTTCCAAGAACTTCACCTACTCCGGCTAGATCCGTGACAGGTTTTTGACCCATAGGCTCTGTAACAAAGTTACGATGTTTCTGTGATGTGCTCGACATGTTGAGACCTGGAAAAAAAAGCAAAGATACAGTATTTGATTTGATTAGGAAAGACACAAAAATTCATGGTCAAAAAATGAGGTAGGGGCAAGGGGGCGAGAAGTGCTGAGGAAGTAGAAGGGAATAGTCCTTGCCGAGACTAGAAGTCTCCGTTCTATATTATAGCATGAGTATTGTGAGAAATATCATAATCCTATCAATTGAGTTCATCCGTTCAATCCAACTTTTCATCAACATTTCAAAGAAAGAATCAATGGTCAGCATGAGCTTGGAACCCATGTTATGCCGGAATCACACGCTGAATTTGGCAGCTGGGTGTGGAAGTCAACAGTCATCGTTCAACGGCTGAAATTTCGCAGATTCGAGTTATTTTCATCCAGATTTGCAACAAATCTGTTCGAATAGTTCAGACAAATCCGACAATATCCGATGGTCGCTGAGCCTCGGTGCTGAATTTTGCGCTGTGTAAAATTCAGGCATCTGGCCAATGACCTCCACATTCAAGCCACATTCAGCGTGTGATTCCAGCTTTAGAAAAGTTGATAGTTGTTTATTTCCTGTTTGCAAGCGACTGTGTTGCTGCTGTCTAGAAGACATTGAGGATTGAACGCAGCCAGTGATGTCTATGTGCATAGATACATAAATCGATCTACTGTGCGTGACTGTCAAAAATGAACCAACTTGTGTTGCCCAAGTACTACCAGACTAGGTCTACCATACCATCTATACTGCTGTGCTAAGGAAGAACGCCATATGAACATTCAAGAGTTGCCAAATTTCTCCAGATAAAACATATGTTTTTGAGGAGAGTTATGCATATTATTCCTTGACATTTTCAAACATTTTGGATTAGATTAGGAACAAAATTGGCTAGGTAAGAAATTTGAAGAAAAAAATCTGACAGTTTCCTTGAAAATTCATATTTTATTGATGGAAAGACAGCGTATGACGGCTCATACAGCGTTTTTCCTTAGCAAGGCAGCATCGGAAAATTGTACTATCAAGCTTCAACCATCAAGATATACTTAGAGGTGCTTCGTCATGGTTTGTTTACATTATCATCACACATAGTTCATGAAAAACACGACCATTTGAGGCATAAATTCATCAGTTGAGTAATACTGATTTTCAGTAAATCAGAGATTGTCTTGCATCTTGATCTGGAGTGATCGCAGTTATACCGATTAACTCTTGGAGAATTCGCTTTTTAAGTCCAAGCTCTGTCACAACATAACCTCAAATGTACTAGAACAATTGTCCCGCTCATTGCAAGAACCACTAGTAAAGATAAGGGCAGGCTCCAATAAGATTTATACTAGATTCTAACTCCATGCTGGCGCAAAAGCTTCTGGAAGAGCTCAAGTAGAAATTACCTTCCTTATGGCATACAAACGTAGAAATAATGATGACATGGATGAACTTGATACGCAATCCAAGGCCACATGCGATCTAACAGCGCAATTTGTCAGCTCCAGCAGGAGTAGCAATTACACTGTTCTAACTTCCGATTAAATCAAAAGATTAACATCTAATCAATGATCAGAATTAAGTATTCATTTTGTATTAAATTTGTGACATATGAGCAGTGCGGTTAGATCGATATCAGCACAGCTTTCGTCCTGCAACGAAGAACCTAAACTCGAATTGGACCTGTGGTTCGATGAGTAAACTGCATGTAGCGCATCCTAAATAAAAATATTAGAATATTTTGACAAAGAAATGAATCAACGGAGAATGTAGTGTGCGCAAGATGATGAAATATGAATGACAGGAGAGATGACTCATGCCTGGCTGAATTTCAGTTTCTCGAAAGAGAGCGAGAGACATCGAAACATATAAATTAGTAGATGCAATTACCTTACAATAATGAGTTAATATGGCGAAAATATCCAAACTTATAACGTGGGCGTTGGAGTTATATTAATTTAAAAACGCAGTTTGCACTCAGAACTTCAGAAGTCGGAAGTGAAATCAGTTGTCAACAAAACAAAACAAGACCTCACGGATGGCGCGAAAACAGTGTGACAACTTGAGCAAGCAATGGTTCGTTGACCGGGTATAAAAAGTCTCTTTCTTGGGTGCTGTTTTCCTTCTATAAAAAACTATAAAAAAAACTATTTTTGCTTTAAAGTGACAATTTTTTATGTTTATATTAATATTTAGGAGCAGATTACTAATTACATCAATAATAATGAGACAAACTTTAAAGTGTAACGTTTTGGATTTTTGGTTTGCTAATTGAAAAACACTGAAAAATCCGTCCAATCATACTGGCGCGTCTTTTGAAATTAAGAATTAAGAAACTTAAGAGTTCTCTTCAATTCGAATTCTTACTTCTGCAATTTCGTATGATACTGTGCAATACCTCTGGTGTGAAATAGTTGCTTCAAGCGCCGTGGTACGCTGCGGCGCGGCGGGCGGGCAGCCAGCCCGAAACGCGCACTGGCGCCTTCAAACCTTACAGGGATACTTCACGCATTGCGCAATGCGTGAAGTATCCCTGTTGGGTTTGTAGGCGCCAGTGCGTCGCCGCACCGCTTTGTGTTAGGCTCTAATATTTAATCTGGCGGAGTCAGCGTTATTCAACTCATGATTTTGAAATGTTTGCACATCCTGTATGGATTATTCTCATTTTAATTGATGAAAAAATATATGTAGTAAAGGAAAATATAATGTGCGTTTTGTAAATATTACGGTGATTCCTTACAAACTTAAGGATTTACAAAGCACACGAATTTCTACACAATTTCTTATAGCCTTTCATAGCCGATGGGGAAAAAAAACAGCAAGGCGATAAAGTGTAAAACCCGGCGATAGGAACTATAGCCCGGCTGTATAATTTTTTATCGCTTCGTGTAGCCCGGCCGTATGATTTTTTCCACTTTCTACAGCCAGCTATATGATTTTCTATCGCCTTCTTCAGTCAGCTATAAGAACTCCTTTAGTATTTTGAAACGCAGCTCCTATCGCCAATTTTTACCAGGGATGGACCGCGTTTCGACCGCGAACCAAGCCACATCAACTAATGCCATATCTATCGGGCAATATGATTTTTTTAGAAGAAAACATTTGTGCGGATTCCTTTGAAAATTTAAAGAAATTGGCGTTGTGCTGTGCAGAAAATTCACTGGAAGTTGCACATAAATCCGCACAACCATTTTCATGTAAAAAAGTAAATTCGCACAACAATTTTCATGTGATAAAGTAAATTGCCCTACTAAATTTGGCAATAGCCGATGTAGCTTGGTTCCTTTCTATTTAACGCGGTCCAAATACGGCGCTAAAGTCGCCGCCCCTCTAACACCGAAAAAAATCATATGCTGTTTTAGCAGCTAGGATGTCAAAAATGTGTCTGGTGATGCCAGGCGACAAGACAGGCCAAGTTGCTGCCTTTACTGCCCCCGCAGTTGACATTACATCCTGTGAATGCAAATTCAATTGCGTGGGCAATCAAGGCAGCATCTTGGTCCGTCTTGTCGTCTGGTATCACCAGAAACATTTTTTGACATCCCAGGTGCTAAAACAGTATACCATTTTTTCAGTGAACATAAGGGCGTAATCAATTTCCATATGAGCCCTATTTTACACATTTTATATACTATGGATCCATACTTTCTGGGGCTCATGCGGATTTTGAGATACTTCGTTACGTCAAAGAGTGACGAAGTGTCGGTGTGTTTATTGGCGTCCACACACACACCCTAGATCCTTCACCCGGCGACCTTCACTATTATTTTTTTATTCCAGAACTTGAACGGTCACTTAAGTGATCATCGCAAACACGACACCCAACATTGACACTGAGCCAAAATGACGCAATCACTCGGCTAACGTGGTCGAGTATCATCTGCCTCACCCTTTGATAATACGTCGCTTTGCGGTGATGTTCGTCCACTCATAATTAGGAATACCTAACTGTTCAGTGTTTTCTTATTTTGTATGTAAAAGTTCGCCTGTGTAGTATATTTCTTTCGACTGATTCTTCTACAAAGCTCAAATGTGATTTCAAGTGCGATTAAATCACGATCATAAATATTAAATTAAATCTGTCTTGTGTCGTGTACAAATCTTGCCTTACAATGAGATGTGTCGAACCGCGACGTAAATTGTAATATGCGGCTCTGCTCTCGGAAGGAATAGTGTCGTATATTTGCACTTTACCCAAGTCCTTCTGATAAAATAGGAATATTTTTTGTAGGTAGGTATACCTGTGAATCTTTTTGTTTTTGGTTTTTAAATTTCATTTCAATGCCTGCGAATTTCATTCGAGAATTCCTCCAATGTGAAAAAAAATTAGTGTAGAACCTTTTCCTTACCGATTATTCAAAAATTGTTGATGTTTTTACACTACGGCCGTTTCGAGCAACCGCTCATCGTCAGGTGTTTAAAACAGTGTCGAAAGTGAATTGTATAAGTGAAGCGAAAAAAAGTGAATCGTAGTGTAAAAACATCAACATTGTTTGAAAAATAGGTAAGAAAAATGTTCTACGCTAATTTGATAAATATGACCGATAAAGTTAAAAAAAGAAGTGATATCGTCCATTGGAGGTAAAAAATTCGTGAAGATATATCTGTCGCAAGCAAATAGTGAAATCAGGTATTTTGTCAAATGCCTAGGCAGATAGTCAACTTTTGACGGTCTTCAAAATTTTGTGATTTTATGGCGAAGAGCTCACGATTTTTCACTATTTTTGGAAAAATAATTCATCAAACCTACGAACTCTTTTTTTCTCTGCCTCTTCAATTGCTTCTCATATTTTTAATTGTTGAAATTCCAAAAAATCTGTATTTTACGACATGCTGAAAATTTCAAGCTCAGTGTCTCTTCAGGAGCTAAAAATTGTTTAAAATACTATTGTGTGTGCAAATTTTTACTGAGAATTTTTTCTTGCAGGAGCAATGAATTACTTTGTCTGAAATGAGGAAGAGAATCAGAATTTCAATCTAGGTTAGAATATTTGACTATTTGCCTAGGCATTTGACACAATGCCTGATTTTACAATTTGCCTGCGACATATCCATAACATTTCTGAAAAATAACTATGTTTTATCGGGAGAAATCAGGCAACATTCGGATGCCCTTACATCTTTCTTCCTCAGCTTACAACAACATCATGGTGCCACAACTGGACGTATTTTTGCTAAAAGGAACTATGTGCATAGGGCTTGCGTGAGACATAGTTCCTTTTGGCATGAATACGTTCAACTGACAAGCTGTAGAAAGTAGACTGAATTACAAATGATACGAGCTGCAATAAACTGCAATGGACCACTAGATAAGGTACGAATTTCAGCATTCTGATACATGTTTCTTAACCAAAATTTTACGTAAAACACGATGCACACAACGAAAATTACCGAAATCAACTCCTTACGAAGATATTTAATGATTCTTGATGCGTGAATTCAAACCACCCGCTCATTAAAACTCAATGATCTGCGTGATTCACATCGCGCGCTAAACGTTTATCATGACAGCCTCTTGCAGTATGAAAATCTGGCAACCTCAATCTTGACGCTTTATCTCAGCTATAGCAAATTGCTTATAGTTTGAACAACACATGGAAGGAAATGAACATTGCTCGATTGAGAGGCTTGCTGAAACCTTTGTAGTGCGCGATTTGACTCACGTAGAGCTTTGAGTTTCTTGTCAGCGGGCAGTTCAAATTCCTCTTAACCAATGTGAAATAAAAATGTTAATATCTTCGTTAGGAGTTGGTTTCGGTAATTTTCGTTGCGCGAATCGTGATCTACGTGAAATTTTGGTTAAGAAACATGTATCAGATCGCTTAAATTCGTACCTTGTCTAGTGGTCCATTACACAGTAAAATTACTGTCACAGAATCGGAGCGTTGCAAATGTTGCCTACCTACTATTTGAAGGGGCTCCTGTGATTGAAATATATTGCTAAAAGATTGAAATTAGTTACACAAGTCTTGATGCATTCCGAATTGCTTATCTTCACGGAGCTTGTTCTATCACCGGTTTGGAATTGGCATTTTTCGATCAAATGATGTAAAAATACTGCAATTTCGTGGTGGGAGGGGGGGGGATTGCGATTTCATCTGATTAAATTCGATTTTCATTTCATTTTTTTTTTGTTACGCTACCCTGTTTGGGGTATTTTCTTGTAAATGTATTTGAAGTAAAAATGTATGAGTATCTAAAAAAATACGCCAGGACAGATGTAAGTATTTCTCTCTAAGAGTATGAACAGTTTGGCAATGATCCTCGACAGTGAGACTGCTAGACCAAGTATCTCGTTTGCAATGTTTGAAACTCTCCGCTCCCATTTTATTATTTCGGAGGAGAAAAAATAATCATTCATTCTTTATTGAAGATTAGATTTCACGGAGTTTTCCTCGCAGAAAAGAGTATAAAATCCTAGAAGTTTTCAAGAATTGGCGATGAGTAGTTTCCAATTGAAAAAATAAAGGATGACAGGAAGTCTGCAATGTCGCAAACCGAGATACGTAGTCTGGTAGTTTCACCGTCGATATTATAGAGGTCAACTTTTTAAACTCGAACGAAATATTTCATCGCTCACGTGTGAGTTCTATAGGACTACATTTTGCGATTAGGAACTAAGATTTCTGAATTCAAAAACAGCATAGGTGCAATAATTTGCCCTATGCAGTAACGTGCTTTCATGAATGAGCCAGAAATTGGAGTCCCCATACTTCCAAAATGTAGTCCGATTCCATTTCTACGGCAGCCTAAAACTTAATAGACAAATCAATAGACAAAGCTGGCAAAGGGGAAATGGAGCGATCCTATCGGTTGAAACGGGCAGTTTTTATAGACAAGGGGAAATAATGGACGAACGATAGGGTCTCTTGTGAGTTGCTCTTATAGTTAGTCTATTACTTACCTCCTATTTCCATGGCAACCACCCGTTTCCACCAACAGGATCACTCCATTTTCTCTTTGTCTTATTTTTCAATGCTTTGTCTATCAATTTCAATAATCAACCGGAGGACCAAAGGCGAAAATAATGGACTAACTACAAGGTTCCTCGTGGGTTGCCGTTACTCGGGCTATTACCTCTTATTTCCATGATGGAAACCACCCGTTTCCACCATTAGGATCACTCCATATTCTCCTTGTCTTCTTTGTCTATAAAAATTCTTTTCAATAATCAACCCGAGGACCAAAGGCAAAAATAATGGACTAACTACAAGGTTCCTCGTGGGTTGCCGTTATTCGGTACTTACCTCCTATGTCCATTGCAACCACCAATAGGATCACTCCATTTTCACTGTCTTCTTTGTTTATTGCTTTGTCTACCAATGTCAATAATCAACCTGTAATTCTACGCCTACTTATTTTCCAAATCTTTATTCGGCAGCAGATGATCATCGTCCGAATCTCCCACCAATCGCAAGTTTGATTGCAACAATATGGCGTTCCAACTACTACTTCTCAGCGTCGGTGTCGCTGTTTTGGGCTTCCTCTCGCATTTGGTGGTGCGCTACTGGCGGAACTACACGGCATGGTCGAAATCCGGTATCCCGTACATTCCATTCCCACGGGACTGCGTTTTTTACCCGATACACAAATCTTTGACTCTCCAAAAGTTTTACAACGAGTTGGCGCCCAACCCCGTGGGTGGCTTTTACAAGATGTCTCGCCCGGTTCTCCTGGTGCGGGACCCGGAGCTGGCCCGGAGGATTCTCATCACGGATTTTTCACAATTCAAAATCCATGACAAAGAAGTCAACGAAGAACTTGATCCGATGAGTGCGTTCATCTTTAATTTTGAAGGCGAAAGGTATTTTCCATTTCGTTCTCTTGTTTTTTGTTTATTTTTGGGTTTTTTTTTGTTTTTATTCCTTTTTTTTTTTTGTTTTTTTTTTTCTTTTTTGCTTTATTGTTTGTGTTTTTGTTTTTTGTTTTGTTTTGTTTTTTTCTGTTTCTTTGTTGTTTTTTTTTTGTTTAATTTTTTGTTTCTTTTGTTTGTGTGTTAGTTTTTTTTTCGTTTTCTTTGTTTTCTTGTTTTTTTTGTTTTTTTGTTTGTTTGTTTATTTTTTGTTATTTTTTTCTGTGTTTTTTAGGGGGGGAATTTCATTAAACCCGAGTAACAGTGATCGCAATAAGTTGCGATTTGATCGCAGAATGTGTCGCGATTTTATCGACATCGCTATCAAAGACACGAGAAATGATTTTAGCTCCGCAGCCCGTAACAGAATATACAATAATAAAACAATTTAAAACAAGGCTAATTTTCACGAATAAGGCCAAAACGTTTCGGCTGAAAACTCAGCCTTTCTCAGTTGAATAATAAAGTAAAAAGAAAAATAATACAAATCTAAAATAGTACCTACTTGGCTGTCAGCAGTACTTAGACTTACTTAATACTTGTACTTAGACAGCCAAGTACTATTATAGATTTTTACCATTTTTTTTTTTTTTTACTATTTTTTCCAACTGAGGAAGGCTAAGTTTTCAGCCGTAACGTTCCCGAAGAGGGAGAAGTAAGTTGAGATAATGACACAATTTAGAAAGCGGGTAACAAGGATAATTTTCGCGAATAAAACCAAAACGTCGCGGCTGAAAACTCAGCCTTCCTCAGTTTGATAAAACAGTAAAAAGAAAAATGGTGAAAATCTAAAATAGTATTTGGCTATCAATAGTATTTAGACTTACTTAGTACTTGTACTTAGACAGCAAAATACTATTTTAGATTTTTACGATTTTTTCTTTTTACTATTTTATCCAACTGCATAAGGAAGGCTGAGATTTCAGCCGAAACATTTTGGTTATATTCGTGAAAATTACCCCTGTTACCCGCTTTACAAATTGTTTTATTATTACTTTTAAAGACTGTCCCAATGACTGAAAATACTAATGATGATTTATGAGCACAAACCACGATTCGTGTCTGAATCCCGCGCATCATCTAAGTCATTTAGGTGGGGGTGATGTGAGAGATTGAGAGGTTGTATGACGATGAATTAATGGGTGTTGATGTAAGATTTATTTATGCATCAGAATAGCTCCCTGATATAAAATATAGAATATCCACTCACGACGGATTTAGTAACCTCGTGTGCCTGTGCATGCGTGCAAGTGTTTAAAATATCCGCGAATCGACATTGCTGCAGACGCATCAGTGGCGTAGCAAGCTTTCCAATTTATTGATTGATTTGACATTTAAACCCATGGAAAAGGATCGAAAAACAGGGTGTTCGCAACAAACACCTTACTAATCGATTACTTACCCTAGCTCCAAATGGGGAAATATCGATAATCGATCATTCATGCCTCGCCACTGTTACGCAGTCAGGCTTTTCTCAGGTGTCAGAGAAAAACACTTGTCTGGGGTGACGTCAATACAGGAAGTACAATTGGACGTATTTCTATCAAACGGAACTATGTGCATTATGACATGAGCCTTGAGACTCATTAGAATACACGCATAACAGGGCTCACGTCATTATGCACATAGTTCCGTTTGATAGAAATACGTCCAATTATCTTGGAACCAGTGTCGAGACGTGAATGATCGATATCACGCCATTTGAAGCTATGGTAAAGAATCGATTACTAAGGTGTTCGCTGCGAACACCCTGCTAATCGATCTTTTTTCATAGGTTTGAATGGCGTATCAATCGATATATCGCAAAGCACGTCACGTCACTGCTTGGAACGACGAAGGCTAGAGGACAGTAATTCATCTCGAGTAACAGAATAGTTTTATAAATTTATTTAAGATCCCTGAGGAGGTTGGAAGAATGGTTACGAAACAGGATGTTGAATTGAAACAAAATTCTCTTTGTTTTAAAAAATATAGATTGAAACAGATTTTTCTTCTTATATTTAAAGAAAATTTGCATCGAGGGGAATAATTTTTGTCAATTCAAATGCGGTTTTTTCACCCGATGGAAATCGATGGCTGAAGGGCGCAACCATACGTATCTTTATTGCGGTGTTCCAAAATCTCCACAGAGATGCTCTCATTTCATTTTTTCAAGAGATACATTGTCAACTACATAGCCTGAAATCTCTATGGAATATTCTGCTAATACAAAGGAGAAGTCAAGAAAGTTTTCAAAAAATTACATTGGAGAGTTTTGCACGGGGAAAGAAAGAAAAAAAAAGGGAAAAAAAGAAGAAAAAAAATATGTCAGTGCAAACGATGATATGCGGTTTCGCATTTTAGCCATTGCAATATAACTTTACTATCAGTGACAAAGTTTATTCTCTTCGAATTGAAAAAGAAAGTCACCCGAATTGAAAACTTTAAGAAAACAAAGGAAGATGTTTTAATTTAAATGAGATTTTTTAAACCAAAAAATTGTAACTCAGTCATCAATAAAAAATTTAATTTTCCTTGTAATAAGGAAAAAATACATTTTAATTGAATAATAAAAATGTCTGCTGCACGAAATATTTTTCTCCGACCGAGAAAAAGTTCTATACTTCAAATTAAGTTTCTGTGCATCAAAAATATGCTTTTCTTTTATTATAGAATTATTTTGTAACGATATTTTATCAATGTACAAGTCACTATGCGATGGAGTCGGGCAGAAAATTTGCTAACGTCGAGGAGGAAAAATAATGAGATACCTCCCCCTTTTACTTCTGTTCAATCATTTGTCATATTCGTTAGACTTTGAATCGATGCAGCAACTATTTTAACTCCCCGGAGATCAAATTGCAGAACCTACTAGATGCAGGGGCTTTTAACTGTCCAAGTAATTTGCGGTCAATTGGTCTAGTTCAGGGTGCCCATAGAGTACATAGAGTCGTAATGTAAATGGGAGAGCTGGCGCCATGTTCTACTCGACGAGTTCTGAGCCCGGTGTGCGCCGAGTTCAGGTCACTTTTTCGACACATGTTCGATCCAAAATGGCGGTGTGGAATACATGGTGATTCCTATCTTCTTTGTTTGCATCGGATGGCCGGGTACCCGTGTATCGCAAACAATCGATTATGTGTCGAAAAAGTGACCCGGCGTCACACAGGAATCTCGGAATTCGGGACCTGGAAAATGCTTAAAAGTGGCGCCAGCTCACCCGCTTACATTACGACTCTATGTACTCTATGAGGGTGCCGCTCTTGCTCCTTAAGCTAGTGCTATAAAATGGCGTTTGCCTCGAACAACTACAAGTATTTTAACTCCCCGCAGATCATTTAAATATCCAACAAAACGCACGAAATAGCTCCATGCTCCGGGCACTCAACGCCTCTCACAGTGGAGCAATAGGAATAGCAATAGGTTGCATAGGAAATGCGACCAAAATGCACCCAAAAACGGTTTGCAGGGGGTAAACCTATGGTACGTGTTTACTTAAAATCGCGAAAAATCAAAATCTTGTCTGATCCTAATTTCCAGGTATCGCAATTTGAAATTTTCATACTGATTGCAAGTTTTCTACTGATTTTGATCAGCTTTCTCATTTATTTGTCCATTCAGTCGGTGTTGATCGGTTCACGTTTTTATTTTTCGTTCGATTCATGTCGATCAAAAAGATACCCTCCCGTTAAATACAGATTACCTTTCATACTCTTTACAATTCGCCTTCTGCTACGTCTGCAGCAATTGTTGTTACGAATACGTTGTGCGTGCTGATTTTAGCCCATTACATACTCGACTCTCTGAAGGCGCTTTATGTGCGCTAGTGGCGAAATCTGTCAAAGAACGAACGAACTAAGGACTTAGCGATTCATTCAACTTTACCTCTGTCGTTCTCCAACAGGGTGCTCTACTCTCGCACATTGAACGCCTTCAGAGAGTCAAGTATGTACTGAACTGAGATCAGCACGCACAACATATTCGTAACAACAATTGCGGCATAAGTAGCTGAAGGCGAATTGAAAACAATCGCAAAATAAACGTTGAAAAAAAAATTTAGCTCTTTAATTAATACTATTACCGAAAGAGAATTGTATTTTATGGTCTCTTTATGGAAGGGATTCTCGAAAAACTTTTCAACATAAGTAAACTAAGTTTAAATGCGAAAGAAAGTACATCGCGATACAAATTTACATTCTCGGGTGTAAGTTTAGGCTACTAAACTTCCCACCAAGACTGAAGAAACTCCAATATCACAGTGCTCTTGATACAATTGCATTAGGGCCACTTGGGCCGCGGCCCATGGCGGCAAATTTAGGGGGCGGAAAATTTTGCAATTTTTTTAGATGTAGGTATAAAAAAAATCGGATTCAGAAAAAAAACTACAAACGAGATAAGGCAACAAAATCTCTTACTTCCTGAGAGTGTAGTAATTTCTATTTTGTCGTCTTTCGGTGATACAAGAGACAGCAAGGCGCGGCGCAAAGAGCAATGATGACGAGGACTTGAAATAAAAAGAAGCCCTCGGCGCGGCAGTCGGCATGAAACACATACCTAGTAGCGCCTACAAAACTGCGTGAATACTTCACGCATCGCGTCGAACACAGTGCGGTCAGCAGCGGTCGGCGTGAAACGCATAGCGCCTACAAGACTGCATGAATACTTCACGCATTGCGCCAAACACAGTGCAGTCAGCGCGGAAGCGGAAGTTGAAAGTATTTACCCCCATTAATGTTTGTTCTTTCACAATGTTTTCGTTCATTTCTTATAAATGCAAGGCACTGTCCACACAGAGCTAGGTTTACCGAACTTAATTTTTGCGCAAAGTTCCGTGAACTTTTGCTAGTAGTGTTGATTGGGCTTTCGCAAAAAATGTGTCCAACAACAGTAAACGCGTCTCATGCACCCCTTTCCCTCCGGCACGTTCACTTGATGGTTTTTTTTATTGATGTCTCAAAACGACTGAGAAGGGGGTGGCACAATACAGGCGGCCCATGGGCGGCAAGTAGGTAAATCCGGCCCTGGTTCTGATGTGGGAAATTATCGATAAACTGATTTAAGAGTGAGAAAATTTACCACCTTGTGACGTCATCTAGCAACATTCCCCATTTAAACGCATGTACTCTAGCAAATGACGTTATTTTGTCATATCTCCTCCAATAATTATTCGATACAGAAACCAAGGGCATTCTTGAGTTTAAATCTCTCAGTAGTATCATCCGAGTCATGAACTTCAGCAAATCTCAGACACCTGCAAACTGGATTGCATTTAGCAGAAAGGAACAAGCGCAATTAAAGTGTTTTCATAATCGTGAAACTTCTTCTTCTCTTCTGAAATACTTAATATATGCACAGCATTCAAAACGCACCATTATCTCTCTTTAAAATTAACAATTTTATGGTGGGAAGAAAAAACTATTTGCTATTCTGGGAGGTTTTTTAGATAATTATGAAGAGGCAACATTTTTACAACACTGTTGTCACGCTTGCTCCTTTTTGCTAAATGCGATCCAATTCTCCATTGCAAAATGTCGTTTATTCGTGGAGTTTCCTCCAACCTACTTTAATGAATCGGTCTTGGATTATTTTTCTTTTGGGAAAAACCTTTGACTCTTTTCTGCATGTAAGCCTTAATATTTAGCAAAAAAGGACCAACGAGATTACAGTGTTGTGTAAAAGTTGCATCTTCATGATTATCTAAAAAATTTCTCGGAATAGCAAGTAGCTTTGGCTTCCCACCAAAAAATTGTTAATTTTCAAAAAAAATAATTGTGTAAATTTTAATACTGTGCACGTATTAAGTATTTTCAAAGAGAAGGAGAAGTTGCAAGGTTTTGAAAACACTGTAATCGCGCGGGTTCCTTTTTGCTGAATGCGATCCAAATCTCAGACACCTGCAAATTCTCCAATGCAAAATGTCGTCCATTCGTGGAGTTTCTTCCAACCTACTTTAATGAGTCGATCCTAGTTTGGATTTTATTTATTTATTTATTTTTTTTTTTTTTTTTGGAAAAAAAACCTTTGACCCTTTTCTGCATGTAACCTATAAAAATTTTCTTGTTCTGCCATGTCAGGCCATGTCAGAAGCACCAATTATCAAAGGAACAAGTCAATTACCAAAACCGCCAATAACTAGGGGCATAGTCATAAAAAAAATTATAATAAAAGCATGAGAAGTTACAACAACATTATATAAATGTTCATTTGATAAAAAAGACCCAACCCTTATAAGTTCAGAACGAATAATTAAACTAAATGAAGTTCCAATTAATCCTCGCCAGACACCGAAAATAAAATATAGAACACCAATATCTTTGTGATTAGTCGAAAAAGCTCAAACTTTCATACATATATGCTTAATGTTATATGCTTTCATGCTTAATGTTCTTGTTCTTGCGCAGGTGGAAGACTCTGCGGCAGAAACTGAACCCGATTTTCTCCGCGGCGAAGCTGAAAGGAATGTGGTCCCAAATGATGGAGTGCCAGGAGGAACTCACGCGTTATTTGGATCGCTTGATCGCGGAAGGGCGCGAATTCGAAGTGAGGGGCGTCATGAAGAAGTTCGCGCTGGACGTGATCGGGACCTGCGGCTTCGGGCTCAACTGCGGCGCCATCCAAGACGAGGAGAGCGAGTTTCGGAAAATCATGGACGGCATCATCAAAGAGTCGAACGTGTTCTTCTTCAGGAGCCTTTTGCATTCGATGGGGTTGGGCTGGGTCCTCGCGCTGCTCGAGGTCAAGAGGCTAGGCGACAAGACGGTCGAGGACTTCTTCTTCAATCTCGTTCGAGAATGCGTCAAATTTCGAGCTGAGAGTGGGAACTCGAGGAACGACCTCATGCAGCATCTCATTAACCTCCAGCATGAGGAGCAGGAGAGTTTGAAGCAGAGCAACTCGAATGCAAGTGAGTAAAAACTTAACCATCCACATGCAAAAAATAGTCGGCGCTGATGACAGAACGTTCTGTTCACAGGGGCCCTGTGTCGAACAGTACTTCCAGGAAAGAAAAAAAACCGAGTGAAGATTTCCAATAACCAAATCGAAGATTCGCGGTTTGGTATTATAGCCTCCGCTGTTAGTATCAACCACCGGCTGGTCCCGGCGCGCAGCGCAACATGCGCGTTGCGGCACGGGCAAGAAAAGCTAAGACGCCTTCAATTTTTCTGTATGCAATACGCACATCCATGGAGCACGAATAGTTGCATCCAGGCGCCGTGATGAAGATCGCCTCCTTCCGCGCATGCAATCCAATGGTGAAGGTGAATCTGCCGAACTACGTATCTCGGTGTGCAACGTTGCCAATCTCCTGTCTCATTTTACTCTCTGAAAAAAGCCTGAAAATCGTTTTCTCTCAATACTTATATCGTTTGTTTTTCCCCGTTTTTTGCATTTTTTTGACAATATTTCGTAAAAATATTGCGCAAATAAGTTGCGCAGTATTTTTAGAGGATTTAGAGAAAAAATAACACAAGTGAAGATTTTCGAGAACCGTATCAGAGATCCGTAGATTCCGTATCAGGTAGTCTCACATTCTTATTTTTCTTCTTTCGTATTAAAGAAGAAGGAGTAATATCTTGCTTGTGTATTCCTATTGGGTTGTCTACGAATCCTGTCTCGAAGTGAATTATATTTGGCTCCATGCTTCAAAAGAGTTTTATGCTGGCTTTATTTTCATCAAATTTTATAAGTAATGTCTATAAGATTAATCATGAATTTTGGGTCGTATTAATACTATCCCTAATCGCCAGGAAAGTCTGTATTTCTAAGAGAGAATACTACCATTGGACGTATTTATACGAAAGGGAACTAAGCGCCAAATTTCCAAATTTCAGTTTTTAACGGATCTGGATTCTCCATGTAATAGGCTGCTCTCACACGTAAATATGCCCCCAAAATACTAATTTCATCCCCTGGAATCAGCCCCTGAAAAATCGCAAAACAGGGAATCAGCGATTACGAATAAAATCAAAAGGAACTATATGTAATTCCCTTTGATTTAATGCGCTAACCCGGATTCCGAATTAAATCAAAAGGCGCTATCTCCACTTGAATCACTTGATTGGCGCGCGCGCGGCGAAGCTTGGTGGAAACTTGGTGAAATTCTGTACGGGGGGGTATTTTTGGACGGGAAACTCGAATTTCGGGTCAAATTTTGAAAATTCAGAAATCCAAGATGGCGGACATGGCCTAAAATGCTATCTCGGCCCCTATCCAGCCGATCTAGGTGAAACTTGGTATCAGGGGGTATTTTCGCATCATGGGAAACTCGAATTTCGGGTCAAATTTTGAAAATTCAGAAATCCAAGATGGCGGACATGGCCTAAAATGCTATCTCGGCCCCTATCCAGCCGATCTTGGTGAAACTTGGTATCAGGGGGTATTTTCGCATGGGAAACTCGAATTTCGGGTCAAATTTTAAAATTTCATAAATTCAAGATGGCGGATGTGGCCTAAAATGTTATCTCCTATTTAAACGCGCATCGCCAAAAAATCCCAGATGTCGTCCCCTGAGTGACGGTCACATATCGACCGTGCGTCCTCTGGCTCGATCGATGTCAGTGTGCACTGACATGGACAAGGGGCTTTTAACGAGCGAACAAATTAACGAACCCATCGGAATCACTTAATTTTCATTAAAATCACTGTTAGGTACTTTATTGGAATCGGAACAGTATTTAGAAATTCATGAGTATTAAGAGCGCGCTGGAAGGATTACGTGGTCAAAAGCGTGACCGTCACCTAGGGGTTCGTCAGGCCCCATCTTGACTTCCTCGGAGACGCGAGTTTAAATGGGAGCTCAGAATACGCAACTTCGAACTTGTTTTCCGTGGGTTAATAATGTTTCAAAAAATCGGAGAAAATTCCAGCGAACTGTGCGTACTCAATCCTCCAAAAAAATGCAAAAATTAAAAATTACTGAATAACCTCATTGTTAAAATTTTAAACTCCGATATGGCGGATGTGGCCTTCAACAATAGCTCAATGCCTGAATCGTTTGTGTGGAATTCGGTATTAGGGGCTCAAAATGACAACAGAAACTGTTTTATTTAGATACGAAAATTTTAACATAGGTAATCAGCACATGAAGGGAATTCACGATCCGACGCTGCTAGGTAAACCACGCACCTCGACGAGGCGGTGTATTGTGAACGTACACGGAGAAAAAAACTTCGTGCGTGGGACCCGAAGTTTAGGTCATATGGATCTGTGAAGTTTTCGGATTGAGCATCTGAACACTTTCGGTCCAGCTGCTGAGGTTTTGATCACACATCTGAAACTTCAGTTCTTACATCTAAAGTACTTCGGTTTTCACATCCGAAAATTTCGGTTCTCACATCCGAAAAACTTCGGTTCTCACACCTGAAGACTTCAAACGTAAGAACTGAAGTTTCAGATGTGTGATCCGAACCTCGACAGCTAGACCTAAAGTGTTCAGATGCTCAATCCGAAAACTTCAAAGATCCATATGACGCAAACTTCGGGTCCCACGCACGAGTTTTTTTCTCCGTGTAGAGTGCCATATATTTAAAGTTTACAAACGGGGAAATTTCCACATCTCATCCACATTGGCAAGATGCAGCGGGAAAGCAGATTGAGGTTAGGTAGGTATATTTGGGCTCCCACCACCTCCGGCCTTCACAACCCGGCCCGTGCGCTTCACGCAGGTTCATTGGCGGCCATTCTAGACGTGTAGTGCGTTTGTTTAAGAAATAGATATCATTTTAAGCCACATCCGCCATCTTGGATTTCTGAATTTTCAAAATTTGACCCGAAATTCGAGTTTCCCGTCCGAAAATACTCCCCGATGCCAAGTTTCACCAAGATCGGCTGGATAGGGGCCGAGATAGCATTTTAGGCCATGTCCGCCATCTTGGATTTCTGAATTTTCAAAATTTGACCCGAAATTCGAGTTTCCCATGCAAAAATACCCCCCGATACTAAATTTCACCAAGTTTCCACCAAGCTTCGCCGCGCGCGCGTCAATCAAGTGATTCAAGTGGAGATAGCGCCTTTTGATTTAATTCGGAATCCGGGTTAGCGCATTAAATCAAATGGACCTACGTGCAAAAATCCCCTATATCTCGCTTAATATGCATTTTTTCCTAATTTTAGCATCGTACGTAATTAGAGGAACTCTTCAGCTTTCAAACAAGCTAAAGTAAACCAAAATCGGTCCATTAGTACCGAAACGCCAATTGTTTTAGTCAAACTTGCTTTACTGAGAAGTTTGGAAATGGCGTTTAGCGCCTTTTCGCATAAATACGTCCCATTAATCTTCATTGAACGCGGGGATAAAAAATTCGTAGGTGGGACCCGAAGTTGAGGTCATATGAGTCTCTGAAGTTTTTCCGGATCACGCGTCCGAAAACACTCTTTATTGCGTAGCGTTGCATGAAAGCAACACATGTTTTTTGGGTTTTGATCCTCTATGGCATTAAATTGCGCAAAGCAACACATTGTTTTTTGGAGAGGGTTAGAGGTCTAATCTCTAAAGTTTTCAAAAAAGAAGTATAAACTGGAACTGCATCCTGCAACTTCCTCTAAGCCAAAAACACTATCAAATGTATAGATTTTTCCTCTGAAATCGGTGACTGACTCGTGCAACAAAGGGTTAATGTCCAGCTACCGAAGTTCGGGTCAAACATCTGAAGTACTTCGGGATGTACTGGAGTACTTCAGATGTCCGACCCGAACTTCGGCAGCTGCACCTCATGTTTTCGAATGCATGATCCGAAAACTTCAGAGACTCATATAACCTCAACTTCGGGTCCCACGCACGAAGTTTTTTTCTCAGTGAATACTAAACCTATGTACTCATTTCATTCCCATTGAAGTTAAACTCATTATCGCATTGCCTTATTAATTCCTCCACCTATTTTACTCCCTTAGAGCCTTTAATGACGGATGCTGTTGTGGCGGCCAACACCTTTGAATTTTTTATCGATGGTTTCGAAACGAGTGCCGGGACTTTGGCTTTCATCTTCTACGAGTTGGCTTTGAATCCAGAGGTGATGGACAAGTGCAGAGAGGAAGTGAAGGCCACCCTCGCGAAACATGGAGGGAACTTGTCCTACGATAGTCTAAAGGATTTGACCTACATTCAGTGTGTCATTGATGGTAAGGACAGGCAACATAAGCTAAGTACAGATTGCAATAAGGAACCGCTACTCTGCTAAAAATAGTGAGTACAAGTGAATAGACAATCAAAGTCGTATGAATAGAATTTCAATTCATATGAATAGAATTTCAACTCATGTGAATAGAATTTCAACTTATATGAATAGAATTTAACTCATTTGAGCAGAATTTCTCTATTCACTTTTCGGCGACTCATATGACTAGAGATTCCAACTCATATGACTAGAGATCTCAACTCACGTGAGTTCAGCGTTGAATCTACCATGTCCGATATCTCAGAAACTAATCACCGCATCTAAAAAATTATAAGGACAAAATGTTCTTATTTTTCAAATTTGCACATTATGTCGGTGTTGACGGTGTCTCCTGGCCAAAAACAGCACTTCTGAAAAATGAAAAAAATTGAATTCATATGAGTTGAACTTTTCTACTCTTATGAGTAGAATACTCTAGTGATATGAGTAGGATTCCTACTCATATAAGTAGTAAGTTCTACTCATGTAAGTCGGCGAATTCTGAATAGCCTGCTCGTCATTTTTAGCAGGGTATTTCTGGCCCATTTTAGAAACAACATACATGCCAATGTACAATTATTTTCCTGTAAAATTTACAATTTATTAGTTAAAGGGCTAAAAAAATTTCCAGCGTTACTTATGTGATGTGTGGGAGCAGGTGAGATACCGGAGACGAAGGTATGGCAAAATAAACGGAGTTTATTGAGACAATCACAAAAAAATGGATCGGGACAACCGACAGGAACACGAATGGGTGGCTGAAACGGTAGACGAATGCCTGGCCGTGCCTCCGAGCTTTCATAGCCGGAGGAAATACGCGGGCGTCGCAGAAGGCGAGCACGCGCCGGACCAAAAAGGGACAGGTCTATGGAATTATTTCCGTAAACCTCGCGCGCGTTCACAAAGAAAGTCGGCGCGTGAGCAGCAGAGTCGTCGCGTGAGCAGTAGAGTCGGCGCGCGCGAAGTAATCCCACCGCGCGCGAAGAAATCTCCAAGGACACGACAATACCTCGCGCGGGCGAAAATCTCTCGCGCGCGCTGCTACAGAGCCTTAACAAGGTCAAGACACGGCTGCCAAATGTAGATTTAATTTTAGCTTAATAGTAGGTTAGGTTAGGTTAGGTTGGGTTAGGTTAGGTTAGGTTAGGTTAGGTTGGGTTAGGTTAGGTTTTTAACTTTAATTAAAAAGACGTTTGGCAACATACAACCTTGAGCCATACGATCCTACATGGCGCGCGGCGGGTTTGCTCCAAAGACATAAAGACGGAGTGCTCGTATCTAAAAGCACGGGGAAAAAGTGAAGCCTGATTTGGCGCTGGATGCTTGTGTGAGTGTGTAAATGAGCGCGGGAATCCATGGCGGCAAACGGAAATTTGATTTGAACTTGTCCTCTTGATTTTTCCACATTTCTTCTTCGAAACGTATTTTAAATGCCTAAAACGAATATATTAAGAAAGTTGGGACTGCGTCCTAACATATTACACCTACTCTTGCTTGGTAATAGGCAGTAATCTCAGATAAAGTTAGTTTTTCCTCTGCTCATGGTGGTTCTGCAGGTTCAAACAGGTCGTTACAGTTCTAGATAACCGTTACTCCAAAATGAAATTAATCGGTCGACGACGGACCAAAGCTAACCTAAAGTTAAAGAAATATGAGTGGGTAAGTGAATTTGGGCAAAAATCAACCTAGAATACTTTGTTTCCGCAATTATTTTATTCAGTTCCCGCCCTACATTTGAATTCAAACTTGTCCAGATTTCGCCGCCAATCCTCAAGCCAATAGTAGAGGTGGTTGAAAAGAAGCTTCATTTTTTGCTTTTAGCCCTCCGTCTTTATGTCTTTGGTTTGCTCTCGCGCGCGTCGAGTTACACCTCGCGCGGAGGAACACTGACAGCGCGCAGCGATACCTTATGTCGCGCGCTATGGAATTGCTCCGCGCCAGTGGCGCAACCACGCGCCGACTTTCTTTGTGAACGCGCGCGAGGTTTCGTGAACGCGCGCGAGGTTTCGTGAACGCGCGCGAGGTTTCGTGAACGCGCGCGAGGTTTACGGAAATAATTCCGTACTGGTCAGCATCTCGGCGACTTGCCTGAAAGTCAAGCGCAAGGCTGCCAAAAACGCTAAGTGTCACAAGTCGAGAAGCGGCTTGTGACGTAAATAGAGCATAGAGCCTAGAACATAGAGCATAGAGGAGAATATGTAACTCGTTCAATATATGGTTGTTTTCAATTCGCCTTCAGCTGTTTCTGCCGCAATTGTTGTTACGAATATGTTGTGCGTGCTGATCTCAGGTCATTACATACATGCCTCTCTGAAGGCGTTTAATGTGCGAAAGGAGAGCACCCTACTGGAGAATGACAGAAATTAGATTGAATGAACCGCAAAATCCTTAGTTCGTTCGTTCTCCGACAGGTTGCGCCATACTTGCGCACATAAAACGCCTTCAGAGAGTCGAGTATGTAATGGGCTAAAATCAGCACGCACAACATATTCGTAACTACAATTGCTGCAGAAGTAGCAGAAGGCGAATTATAAAGGGTACGAAAGGTAATATGCATCCAACGAGAGGGTATGTATTTGATCGACATGAATCGAACGAAAAATAAAAACTTGAACCGATCAACGCCAACTCAATGGACAAATAAATGAGAAAGCTGATCAAAATCAGTAGAAAACTTGCATTTAGTATGAAAATTTCAAATTGCGATACCTGGAAATTAGGATCAGACAAGATTTTGATTTTAATCTTCCATAACGAGGAGTTAAATTGAAATGAAGTTGAAACATATTCGTAACATTAATTGCTGCAGACGCAGCTGAAGGCGAATTACTTTTGCACAGGTAGGTAGTCTGTAGGTAGCGAGAGGGTATTTGTGCGATCGATGTGAAGTGAACGAAAAAACAATTTTTTGGTGGGAAGCCAAAGCTATTTGTTATCGTGGGAGATTTCTTTAGATAATGATGAGGATGCAACATTTTTACAACACAGTAATTTCGCTGGTTCCTTTTTGACGATGGCGACCCGATTGCAACTTATTTCAATTTTAGTTTTATTGCAACGAATCCCAATAAGAAGTACCCCTTCAATCAGTGGATAGGCAACTTATACAACACTTCGATCCAGTAGTGATATAGTTTACCGTGTTGCAATTGAATATTGTAGTCTGTGCTACTTGAGCAGCAGGAAAAAAACACTTAAAAACGTGGCCCGAACTATATGTAACAAGGTGGTGAAGTATTGCTAGGTCCTCACCACTTTCCGACAAAACCATGGACAAAAAGTTCAAACATGTCAATCAGAGTAAAACATTTTGAGTTTTAAGGTGATTCGATGGACGCCATATTTTGTGTCAGAACGGCATGCGATACATCGCATCAATTGGCTCCATTTTTTCAGCTACTCGTCATTTTTCTCCAATTTTGAGATATGCAATTCTGTTGTCAGGAGACTAAAGGACTCACTTACCAATTTTAACAAAGAAATTCAACGTAATAAAGGCGTGGTTTTTTCAGAGAGAAAACATCGCATTCGATACTGATATCGAAACTGCACTCGAATGCGATATTTTCTCTCTAAAAAAACTTCGCCTTTATTACGTTGAATTTCTTTGTTAAAATTGGTAAGTGAGTCCTTTAGTCTCCTGACAACAGAATTGCAGCCACAAAATTGGAGAAAAATGACGAGTAGCTGAAAAAATGGAACCAATTGATGCGATTTATTGCATGCCGTTCTGACACAAAATATGGCGTCCGTCGAATCACCTTAATGAGTGCCACAACAAGACCGAGATTTGAACAGGGGTCATCTCCATTTTCAGTGGCGTGGCGTGAATTGCGATGTATCGATTGTTATGCCATTTAAACCTATGGTAGAGAATCGATTATTAAGGTGTTCGCTGCGAACACCCTGTTTATCGATCCTTTTCCATAGGTTTAAATGGCCTAACAATCGATAAATCGCAATTCACGCCACGCCACTGTCCATTTTCACTTTGTCACTTACTTTACTTTACAGAGGCACTACGCAAATACCCTGCTATCGGCAGGATGGAACGGGTAAGCAAAGATGCTTACGAGCTATCCGATATATCGTTTACGATGAAGAAAAATACGATGATCAACATCCCCGTTTACGCCTTCCATCACGATCCTAAATACTTTCCGAATCCACACCGATTCGATCCCGATCGATTCAGCGAGGAAAACAAGCATAACATCTTACCTGGAACTTATTTGCCGTTCGGAGATGGACCACGCATGTGCATGGGTATGTAAGGCAACTCTAAAAGAAATATCGACGGTGTAAGTCGGCAATCACATAACTCGTTTGCGGTGTCTGAAAATCTTCGCCTCTATGTTATTTTTTTAAAGGAGAACAAATTTTCATAATTCCTTGAAGTTTTTGCAGAATTTTCTTCGTACGGAGAAGAAAAATCACGGCGGTTTTAAAGAATTGCCATTGAGTAGTTTTCCGTTTAAAATATAAAGTATGATAGGAAGTCTGCGACGTCGCAAACCGAGTTATGTGATTTCCGACTTACACCGTCGATATCCATTGAAACAAGCATGTGCGATGAAAGGGCACGAAGTCACTTCTCCAAACTTTCAGAGCGCTGCAAAAACTTGTAGCCTTTTTGTCACGATAAATATTTTTGATCTGAAGTTATCAGAAATCACAGTATAGGATCAGTGTGATTGGACTTAAATATTTCCGGGGTAAGATTAATTGGAAATGGTTTTTTTCTTGTAAAATAAGAAATTAGATAGGTAATATTTATCAGTATACTAGATTTTTTCACACTGGAAAAAAAACACATTGGATCTAGAGTCCAGACTCTTAAAAACATCGACAAGAAGAAGTACTCTTGATTCAATCAGAATCTAGCTTAAATCAAAATCAAGCCTCTTAATTTAAGCGGATTACGTTTTGATTCAAGCAAAAATCCGATTAATTCAACAGTACTTTTTCTTGTCAATGTTTTCAAGAGTCTGGACTCTAGATCCAATGTGTTTTTTTTTCCAGTGCAGATTATTCTCTTTTCTATGTTCTCGTTTTGTCCTAAAATTATGAATTATTCATTCGCACAATCTTAAAATTGTGACCATCTCTCTTAAACTCGGAAAATTCATTCCATTAATTGAAAATTTGAACGAGAGCCCTTACATAAAATATTGCTTGCGATTAAAAATGTCTCATAGTGTCCTCTTTTTGATATATTTGTCTTTCTTTTCCAGGGTTGCGTTTCGCTTTCATGGAGATGAAAGCAGCCATTGCTTCACTCGTAATGAAATACGATATTCAGCCCTCGGAGAAAACTGAAGTTCCGCTGAAGTTTGCCCGAACAAACTTAGCGACAGCAGCTGCCAATGGAATTTGGCTTAATTGGACGCCAAGGAAGATTGAAAATTAAGCCTCCGGCGGACCAGACTCGAATGGAGACATATTTTACAGCTGTAACCATTATTAAAATCCCGAATAAAATCCAATTTTATTTTTTTTTAATCGAAAAAAATGTTTCAGGTAGGTAGATTGTACATTTGTGAAAATTATATTGTAATTAAATTAATACTTTTAAATAAAAAATCAATCTATGGCTATGGGAAATCAGATCAACTTTTATTTCTACCGTATTCGGGAAGTCGCAATTTTCCATCAGGCCGTCGATACACTGAAATGAAGAAGAGCCTGCCAAAAAACTATATCCATCCCTTAAGACACGTTGGAAGACGCGTGTCTAGAAACGAACTGATAGGTTCGACTCGGTGGCGCGCTTTCCCACGCACCGGTGGCGTGGCGTGCTTTGCGATATATCGATTGATCTGTCATTTAAACCTATGGAAAAGGATCGATAAACAGGGTGTTCGCAGCGAACACCTTAATAATCGATTCTTTACCATAGGTTTAAATGGCATAACAATCGATTTATCGCAATTCACGCCGCGCCACTGCCACGCACAAAATAATCACCCCCGGTTTCGAGTTCTTTTAAGTCTGGTACTCACTGCTTAGGACAGAAAGTTACCCGCGACGTATAGATGTAATAGTGTGCTGCCAAGCTAAGGAAGAATGCCGTAAGAGCCATCAGGCGTTGCCAAATCTCCTTCGATAAATCACGAATTTTTGGACAAATTTGTAAATCTTTTTCTTCCAATTTATTAGAGTACCTATTCCATTCGTAATTCGGTCCGAAGGGCATCAATAGTACTGAAAAATATTCATGGAGTTATTCCAAAATAAACCTTTTTTAAGAGGCAATTTGGCAACATTCGAGTGCTCATACGACGTTTTTACTAAGCACGGAAATATGGCTCGCGTGAGCTCCAACCTCTCCTGGGCCATCGAGGTTTCGCCACCCTTACGACTGCCCTGTCGGGGGGCATATCGTTTTTTTGGTATATTTATTGAACGCGTCACTAGAAATCGCCGCAATAACAAAGTTCCTTCATTTCGTTGGGTATGCAATCTGATCTCCAGCGTGTTAAAATAGTTGCTCGAAGTCAAAGCCAACTTTCATCCGCATACCCCGAATGAATTTTCTAGAAAAGAGGGCACTCCTGCGTCTGTGATTAATGTGTATCTGTTTGGTTTGTGCGTCGTGATCTAATTACTAAATAGAAATGACGTCATATTATCCCTGTTGGTCGATATTTAGAGGTCCACTTGATACTGATGGACTGGTCTTTAAGTCATTTCCGGTTTGCATTGACAGTGTGACCATGAAATATCGACAAAAATATTCCTGGTGTGTTTTACCCGATATTCCTTCCGATACACATTCAAAAATATCCACAAAAATCTTCAAGAAGATACTATGGATGTTTTTCTTTTCAAAATATAAAGCACAGGCAATTGAGGAATTTTAAGCGTGGCTCTGGAGGTAAGTATATACTTTATCCGTGGATATATAAAACTTTGAAGAATGTTCAACTTTTTTTGGAAAGTTGAACGGAGAAGTTTAACCAGCATATCAATGAAATAGTGAAATGTATGTACAATCATAGCTCGATGGTGCAACTACTAAACCGTGAATCTCGATTGCGGTGTTTACAAAAATTCTGCGTATATTTTGTTTTAAAAGAAAATATTCATTGAAATTCTTGCGCAAAACTTCCGGACGATAATCTTGTGAAAACGAAGAAAATAAAAAAAAAATGCATGTAAAAACGATTAGCAAGCTATTTTCAAAAAAGTGAAATATCACAGATCTACTATTTCCCAAATCAAGATACCGATCGCCAAAAATGCGCAAACGCAATCACGTATTTCTGTTTGCGACATAGCAGATTCCTTGTCATACTTTATTTTTTCTTTGGAGAACTATTCATCGTAACTTTTTGAAAGTTCTAGATTCTTCCCCTGTACAGAAAAATGTACAATACAAATTTTGAATTGCAAAATTAGCTAGACTCTGTTCGAAAAATAAAATGTGAGCGGCAATTTCAAAACAGCGCAATATAGATACGTGGTTCTGCACTTTGGCCATCAGTGGCGTACGGCGTGTATTGCGATATATCGATTGATATGTAATTTAAACCCATGGTAAAGAATCGGTCAGTAAGGTGCTCGCAGCGAACACCCTGTTTATCGATCCTATTCCATAGGTTTAAATGGCAAATCGCTCGATAAATCGCAAATCACGCCACGCCACTGTTGGCCATCGATACGTGGTTTAAGTACTTGATTCATCACCGATTGGCATAATTGCACTAGTGAGCTCAGACGCCTTAGCCCACCATCATTATTGACTCAAGCTGGATGACTTTCAAGATTTTAAAAATACTGTAATTTGTAAGGATACGATATGCCTAACAATGTATATCAATACATTGTATCTTAATGGTGCTCATTAACAGTCGTCGTTGAGGCAGTGAATATCTGGATATATTCCAGGTCTTAATGTAAATCGATTATGCGATCTACGCATGCATCGATGCTGAAACTAGACAAACACGAGTTTTCATGGTGGTGCTTAAAATTTACCTACTCTCCTATCCTCAGTAGCACAAAACTCGAAAAATACAAATGAATGTAAAAATGTAAAACTGATAATTTTTGATTATTTGAAACTTGTGAGTGAAAAAAATCATAAAACAGTTTTGAGTACAATTAAAACCCGAGTTTAATCATTTTACCTGAAAATTCATGAATATAAAGGTAGAACCTATGTGTGAGAATATATTTCGAATTTTTTGTGTATTTCCTTTTATAATAATACGACATGGTATTTCTCAGTATTATACGGTATTTCTAAGCATCTTTTTTCCCTATAAGAGGTTTCATTTGGTTAACACTGTGATTAAGGAAGGCTCAAGGAGGCTTTGAACATCACATCATGCACCATTTAAAAATAATTACATTTGACGAAACAAAATATAACATTTTTTCCGAACATCGAGTAAAATTTGGTATTATGAACAAGGAAATTGATTCTTAAAAAGCACCACAATAATGTTTCACTGCAAAAAGCACAAAATCAAAAAGAGAAATTATCACGATCATGATCAGTTTAACAGAAGGGGCGTGAATCTACCTTAAATTTTACAACATTCGCGAAACATTTTCTCTCGTATCATATATTTTTTTGCAGTCGCAAATCATTCTAATCCCTTGCAAGAATCTATTTTTGGAGTTAATATACTGACCTGAGCATAACCTGAGTTCGCATATTTGGACCGGGTTCAGCAGAAAGAAACCAAGCCACATCAGCTTTTGCCACACGGAGAAAAATCGAATGTTGATTTAGCATTTCTACTGTTGAAAAAATGTGCGACAACTATCGAATGTTGATTTTACATTGAAAAAATGCTAGTTCAACGTAGAATTTGTTCATTTAACCGTGGAGGTAGTTAACCTAGCATTTGTTTTACTGTAAAATCAGCATTTATATATGTCGCGCATTTTTTTAGCATTATAAATGCTAAAGAAACATTCAATTTTTTTCCGTGCAAATTTAACCGGGTAATTTCATTTTTTACAAGAGAACGTTTTAGCGGATTCTTCTGAATATTGAAAGGAATTTTCTCCGCACTATGCAGAAAATTCACTGAAATTGGAACAAAAATCTGCCCAACCGTTTTCATGTAAAACATGAAATTGCAGAGTTAAATTTTGCAAAAGCAGATGTGGCTTGGTTCCTTTCTACTTAACGCGGTCAAAATGTCGATAGGACTCCTGAGTTCCCAGAAATGACCAGAATTACCTTGTTAAGGGAGCCTCTCTATCTCAAGAGGACACTTGAGTCCCTTTATAGAGAGAGTTGAGACAACGCGGCTTGTGGATGTCACAAATAGCAATAAAGACTACACAAATCGGACGTTCTTTGTAATCTTTGATCAACCCATTCCCAAATTCCTATTTCCGTTCCCTCTCTCATTCTATTTGCTCCTTGCCGTACCCCCTATTCCCCGATCCAATCCAGTTTATAATCTTTGCAACTGGTGAAAATGCAATCGTCATCACTGTTTGTCATAGAGTACATAGAGTCGTGATGTAAGTGGGTGAGCTGGCGCCACTTTTAAGCATTTTCCAGGTCCCGAATTCCGAGACTCCTGTGTGACGCCGGGTCACTTTTTCGATACATGATCGATTGTTTGCGATACACGGGTGCCCGGCCATCCGATGACAACAACAACAACAGAGAAGATAGGGATTACCACGTATTCCACACCGCCATTTTGGATCGAAAATGTATCGAAAAAGCGACCCGAACTCGGCGCACACCGGGCTCGGAATTCGTCGAGCAGAACATGGCGCCAGCTCTCCCATTTACATTAGGACTCTATGTACTCTATGCTGTTTGTGACACTGTGGAGGCCTAAAATACGGGAACCAATCAGAAATGAATTCGCATTGTCTTTACTCTCATTGTCTGTATAAAAGGACTCCAGAGGACACTTGGACGTAGTCCTTTAAAACGGAACTATATGCATTATGACTTGAGCCCTGTCAAGCATATATCCTTATGGGTCTCAGGGCTCATGTCTCAATGCACATAGTTCCGTTTGGCAGAAACACGTTCACTTTTTCACGGTTCACTTTTGAGGATACGTTCTTTTGCCTCAGCGATGGCCAGCGCCACTTGGGCGGGCGCGACTCCTCCCTTGGCGCATCTCTTCTCGAGGCAGGACTGGAGCTCGAGGACGGGGTAGACGTCCTCCTCGATGACGTCAGAGAATTTCCTGAGCTCCTGCAGGGACATCGCCGCGAGGGGCACGCATTGGGCGATGGCCTCGACGACTACCCGGCCGACGATGTGGTGGGCCTCGCGGAAGGGGAGCCCTTTGGCGACTAGGTAGTCGGCGAGCTCCGTGGAGTTGGCGTAGCCCTGCTCGGCTGCCTCTCGGCAACGCGGTTTTTTCACCTGCATCGGAAGAGAAATTTGGGACAAAATTAAATTTTCTGTGTAGATTGAAGCACATAGTAGGAGAGAAGAAGGAGAAAAAGAAGAAAAAGAAGAAGAAGAAGGAGAAGAAGAAACTTGACGAGTGTGATGCACTGATGAGGTCAAATGGG